TACATCTATTAAATTAATATCTAATTTGACCAAAACCCATAATCATGGGTAGAGTGGACCGCTGCCAGTGTCTCTCTTTCCCAAACAAAAGGAAATGATATTAATTTGATTGACCGTTCTCAAATGCAAAATGATACCGAGAATGAAATCGGTCGCTCGCTTTTCCCATTCATTTACAATTGTAATAGATTAAGAAGAACTACCCAAAGGCAGCTAGCTGCCTTTGGGTAGTTCTTCTTAATCTATTACAATTGTAAATGAATGGGAAAAGCGAGCGACCGATTTCATTCTCGGTATCATTTTGCATTTGAGAACGGTCAATCAAATTAATATCATTTCCTTTTGTTTGGGAAAGAGAGACACTGGCAGCGGTCCACTCTACCCATGATTATGGGTTTTGGTCAAATATCATCGCTTTTTGATTAATGTCAGCGGGTACTTTATAAAGTCGAAATATAAACTGATATCTTCATTAATAAGGAGGAAGTTTCAACGATTTCGAAATTTTTCCTTTGAAAACATTTCCTTGTGTTTGGGTAAGCATATCGGTCGATCACTGACTGAATTTGCCACTTTATACTCATTCAAGTTGGCATTAAATTTATATATAATGACATTGAACTGTCGTGGTAAAGCAGAATTTGTTCGAAATCACGAATGAGCAAAATTATCACCTTTCGCACGTGCAAACTATGAGCGGACGTTGCGTGCGCATCCAATATTGAATCGCCGTAAATTTTCGCGTGTTGGTGTTTTATATATAGTTTGATAAGCATGCAAAGTTTCAAAGTATTTCAAGAAGAACTGTAATCACAACGGCACACCAACGTTTACAGAAAATGGTAAAAACAGCAATTTTCAGTGATTTTAGCAATTTTTAATCAATTTGGGCGTGTCCCCACGTGTGCAACTTTTAGATTTTTAACTTTAAAACTAGCCTAATACACAATTTATACCTATAGGAAGCAGAACTGAGCTCCACAACCCAAGGGATAGCCCAACACCAGAGAATACTAAATCGCAAAATTGACGTTTTTATAAAATAATTCTTCAAAAAAGCACTAACTTCAATGGCAAATATCTTTATGAAGGAGCAAGGTAGGGAAACTTTCCGGTAGATTTTCAGAATGCTTGAACAATTATCTAAGAGAAAATGTCCTCAGATTTTGAATAAAATTACTCCTTAATGGTGTAAAATCAGTTTGAAAAGTTGTTATTTTGTCAAAAATCAAGTTTTAAAAACACTTAATTTGATGACGTCATCAAGTGGTGATGATGACGTTAAATTATTTTTCGATATAATTAAAACTGAAGTGTAAACAATTATCTTTAAGACCTGTGGTCGGAAATTGCTGTATCTTTTATACTTTTGAATCTCCGGACACTTAAATTCAGGCTACAATTGACTACATTTGACTGGCAAAGCGTCTATCCCTGAATATATGTATCACGACAATCTATCGTAAAACAGGGGTTCCAGAAAACCCATTTCCCGATACTCCTGAAACATGAAATTTTTTTTACAGTCGATTTGGTCAACGTCTAGACGCCCTGCAAAGTTTCAGATCTCTAACTCAATTTTAACATGGTTTTTAAGGCACCTGAATATGGCAATTTTGGGTTTTTTACCGAATTTCGTATAACATGCTGGCGCGTATTTTGCGCAAATTTCTTAAAAACCTCCACATAACTATTTCTTGTTCCTGTCATCTTTAACATTGAATTAGAATGATTTGAACTTAAATATACCTGCTGAACTACTTTCGATGAGTCTTAATGCCCGAAAAACAATAAAGGGTTATAAAAGTAAAGGGGGTAAATAGTAAAGGGGGTAAATAGTAAAGGGGGTAAATAGTATTGTGAATATAAGAGGCACGGTCATGCTTGCCAGCATTGTGATATTTATTCAAATATCAAAAGCTACGTTTTAAGCATTCGTGGTGCGAAAAGAAGATTTTACGCTATAGGAACTCAGGAAAGTGAACAGATTTCACTTGGATATTGATTAACCGGAACCCCATTAGACGTATGTCCATTTTAATTGGATGACCTTAATGTTACTAAGAATCCGCAAATTCTAAATTGGTGCACTGTTATCAATATCATCTGATAGTAATACTAATATCTCAAAACAGCACTGATTCACAATTTCAAGTATATAATAGTTATACCTGTAAAGATGGGAGCGTAAGCTAAAATAGGACCAGCCATCTTTGCCAACATTCCAGCGATGAAGAGTGCTATAAATTTAAATAGGGCGGTTTTGGAGTTCGTAGCTCCGATAGTACTGTCATAGTTAAGAATGCCGGTTAAAATGCAATGAGAATAATTATCAGGGTAATGTCAGCATCAATTTTGTCTGCTAGAATTATTTCTGATACTTTATTTCGGAATTATTTCTGATATTTTCTGATTTCCCTCATGGAATGGGTCGAATTTCTTGGATACTGCTTATTGGATGCTACCCTTTAATTAATTAATCGGTATCAAGGATATTTTAGCAAGTTAAAAAACTTACTTGTTAACCACATCTTCCACGGTAAGGTTATCGGAGTCACACAGCTCATCTGATTTCCCTATCTCCGACATCTCCTCTTCTCCTTCGAGCGGCTTGTACTGGTCACCCGGCTCTGGGCTCATTATATTTATAGCTGGTATTGATAGTAGTGTCAGCAGAGACCTCATAGTTAGCGATAAACGCTAGGGCCTCCAGCGTTCAATTAATGTCCATTCAAATAAGGTCCGATAAGGTAGTTGTTTGTGAATATATAAAGTGTGGTAGATATTTATACAGCGTACTCTACAATAGATTGTAAAACGGAGTACGAGTTACCACGATAGTATTTTATCTCTCCGCTAAGTCTACAATTCTGCTAGTGCTAACTAGCAATTAAGTCTGAGGTCAATTTAATGTTCCTAGATATGGATTATAGAGATTGCATTCACGCATGGTTGAACAACATGAGACAAGTGGAAAACAAACAAACGAATAGATTTCAAGCTCGTAAAGGATAGTTGCTTGAGATCGGAGATTTCAAAACTATTTTTTAAACTATAACGAGTACGACTACCAAATTCAATGAACAACGCAATTATTCGCACTATAAGTATAAGTATACGGATACCGCCACCGGATTCCTCGTTAAACGAATTTCCTCGTTCATGATGGAGAAATATAATTATTATGTCTATGATCAGCTCAGCCTTTTATCAAAAAGCACGCACAAAGTTAAAGGCTGGAGCTTTAATTAATATATGAAATATATTAATACTTGTATTCTGTGTAAAATTATCTTTATCCCGGTTACTGCGACAAGTAAAAATGCTCTTATTAGGGAAAGGAGTTTACTTAATAAGAGCATTTTTACTTGACGCAGTAACCGGGATAAAAATAATTTTACACAGAATACATTAAAACAATGCGACTCATAAAAATATTCAAATAACCGCAAATATTCCAATGAGATGAATAAATGTTTGGTATTCAACATAGCATATAATGTAGTATATATATATATTATATATACTACATTATATGCTATGTTGAATACCAAACATTTATATATAAAGAATGGAAGATAATTTTGAAATTATGAGTATGATTTTGAGCTAGTAACAAAGTTTTTTGTACTACACTAAGTGCCTTAGGCTTAACAAACTTAGATAATTGTGCGGTCTAACTAAATTGAATTATAATATTAAAAGGATAGATTTAAAAAGGATAGATTTGAAAATAAGAATAAATATGCAATCTAATAATCGTCATAAAATCAAATTATGTTTTCTCACAAATTATGTTTTCGAATTATGTTTTGAAAATAAGGATAAATAACAAATATGCAACCTAATAATCGTCATGAAATCAAATTATGTTTTCTCACAAATTATGTTTTCAAATTATGTTTTGAAAATAAGAATAAATATGCAACCTAATAATCTTCATGAAATCAAATTATGTTTTCTCACAAATTGTGTTTTAAATTATGTTTTGAAAATAAGAATAAATATGCAACCTAATAATCGTCATGAAATCAAATTATGTTTTCTCACAAATTATGTTTTCTCACAATTAAATGAATAAAATCCACGTACGTCGTACCGGTACAACTACAACGTATAATTATATTTTGGCAACTATTACAAATTTAATAGTTCTTTATCTTTAGGACTATTTTTCCAAAAAGGATCGTGCTGACTCAGACATTTATAAAAGCAAATTTTAGTGATTTTAGCAATATAAGGTCTAACTTTCCGATTTAAAACTTTTAAACTAGCCTAATTAGCTAGTACACAACATAACGGATGATTACAAAAAAAGGAACTTTTTTTCAGATCCCTTTATCGGGTCGATCAATTCATTTGTGGTCACAATCAGTGTTAAAATTTGGACAATTTTGAACAGAAATAGTAAATGCCAGACACTCAAAGCCCCTTGAGGTAGGCACAGAGCAATCTCTTTCTTACAGTTACAGCCACTGAAGCGCGGCTTCTAGTTCTACAGTTTGCTTGGGAATCTTTTTGATGCAAGGTTTTATTCTGCAATTCAGAGCTTCTGCATCTCCTGCAATCCAGTTCCGGGCATAGACATGTGTAGCCAGCACTCCAAAATAGTCCTCTATGGGTCTAAATTGTGGAAATTAAAATTCACTGACCTCGCTGATTGGTCACTGGTCAAAACCGCGAAATGTCGGTCAAGAGGACGGCAGAAAAGCTTAAAGCTCTTCCGAAATCTTCCAAAATCCCTTTTATATTCTGACGATTTACCGTTTATCAAAGCTTTCTTAAGGAATAGAACTTTGATTACCTCAATCTGTCTTGTGCCATCCTCAGCGACCTTGTAAGATGGTAATTAAAAAAAATTCAGTCAAAGCAGCGAAATTTTGGTTGCGGAAAGTTGAAATCTGAAAATGTCCTACCGGTGCCCGGTGGCGGTAGGACATTTTCAAAATATCAACCTTTCGTTTAAAAACAAATCGGAAATAATCATAGTAAATTTTCAGCTGAGTGTCAAGCTCAAACAGTCGACTGTAACGGAGTACTTGAGTGTGACGATTATTCTGACGAAATAGGTTGCTCTACAAAAGGAGGTAAAATATATTTCATATCATTAATTATAATAAATAATTATTATTATTAATAATAATTAATTATAGCTAAATGATAATAATATGAAATTATTTCCACCGGTATTTTGTCGAGCTAAACCTCCTACAGCCTCTGAATATCCTCAATTTGCTTGAATCTAAAAAATGGCAAGCTGGAGGCCGATTACGGATTAGGTTCTAATTACACATAATTGGTTCTAATTGGTTATGTCCAATTTTAGGTTTAACATTCCAATCTAACATGTTTCAGTTTACTCACGGATGGGTCTATCTGATGAGACAAGATTTCTTGTCCGAACTCCAGATGGAGATCATACATTCTGTTTCTACACATTCGGGAAATTGGACTTGTTCACTTCTGATTTTGGTTCTAATAGTTCACCGGTTGATATCAAGTCAAAGGGCCATTATTGTCTTGTCAATGAAAATGAAAAGAAAACGATTGAGGTTTGCAACAATTTGTTCATTAAATAAACTTACCCCTTTTGACAGAGACTCATAGATTATTAGGAAAAAAACTAACTTAATTTTAATTTCAAACAGTATTCCGCATTTGTCTCATTCCTTAACAGTAACACTATTTAGGGATATCTGTACGATACCAGCACGAAGAGTTTCATCATTGCGGGCGAAGGAAGCATTAAGGCAAACCATACCGTTGGAGTATGGGGAATACAGGCTGATTCAATCATAAAAAACATCATGGTATATCGTAAGGTAATGTTCATGATTATCATCGTTTCATTGAGTGTCATGAATTATTTCATTTGATGGAAATGAATCAATCTAGCACATACCTAATGTTTAGTTAAATTAAAACCAAAACTTAATGTTTCAGGCACTTTCACCTCCAGAGATGTTAGGTTACATAACCAACTGTGGAAATGATGGTTATTCGGCTGCCATTGATGTTTTTCTAGACCATCATTTGGTTGTTGTTTTGAACATAAAGTATCGACAATCTGTAAGTAAGAACCCTGATGATTCTTCTGAACAAAGTAAGAACCCCGATGATTCTTCTGAACAAAGGATGAACAAAATACGGTCAATAGTTAAACGTGACGATGACAATGACGATGACAATGACGATGACGAGTCGCCACCTGGGTCAGGGTGGATAAAGAGTGAAACTAATGATTATGATATAGATTTATCTAGTTCAGACGAAGATGTGTTTCCTGCCTTTAAATACACAGCTTTAACAGACATGTGTCAAGGTAAACGTCAATCCGTAAAGTGTTGTTTGATATTGAGAATTTTTTAAATTTTAGTGGCTTATTTGTCCGTATATCAAGTCGTTAGCAATTTTAAGTTGACTTTTAGATTCCACGTGAACTGTGCAACAATTGTGACAGAATGTAACAGAATATAACACGGTACAGTGTACACTATGCCATATAATCCATGAAATAAGTCAATTTATCGAGTGTCACAAATTTTCAACTTTTCAGAGGGTTTTACTCCAACTGGGTCAGTAGATCTAGCTACAACTCATATTTGTGAGAGCGGACTGACTATATCCAACCACTGCTGTGAAGGTGATATTTGTGAGCGGTGTAATGAAGCTGACCCGGATAAGACGGTGGAGTGTGAATATGTCAAGTCACGTGAGTCAAAAAGGATTCAATTTTATATGGCTTTAAGTTTAAATTGAGATTATGAATTTAATCCAAAAAGAGGTAAAACCAAATCCCAAAGATTACCTATCAAGTATTACTATTAGATACGTGAGGGGTACTCAAAGTTAAATTGTGGTCTGTTTGGATTGAGCGAGTTCATACTTTCGCACCGTTACGAAAATGTAATGCGTGTTTTTTAATGTAATAGGTGAGTATGTACTTTTGTATTTCAACTGCGATAGTGAAGTCCCGGCCGTAGGTACGGGTTACACTAGTTACTTTATATTTATATTTTATATTTCAGAGATTGTGGCCTTAGCAAAGAAAGGAAACGAAAAATCGTGTTCTAGTAGAGCTGAAATAGTTAACGCTTACAACAATATCTTAGGCACGGACGCAATTCGTTCTGCTAACACCTTCACAGAGTAAGACTTAACTTTTAAATTCGCAGCCGTATTTTTATTAATTCACTCAGCTTCTTTCAGTTATAATGATTAAAAATATGCCCCCACCATTAAACTAATATACAATTTGTAATCAAGCAAAAGTAATTGATCTCGAATCTTTAAATTGAGATTATGAATTTAATCCAAAAAGAGGTAAAACCAAATCCCAAAGATTACCTATCAAGTATTACTATTAGATACGTGAGGGGTACTCAAAGTTAAATTGTGGTCTGTTTGGATTGAGCGAGTTCATACTTTCGCACCGTTACGAAAATGTAATGCGTGTTTTTTAATGTAATAGGTGAGTATGTACTTTTGTATTTCAACTGCGATAGTGAAGTCCCGGCCGTAGGTACGGGTTACACTAGTTACTTTATATTTATATTTTATATTTCAGAGATTGTGGCCTTAGCAAAGAAAGGAAACGAAAAATCGTGTTCTAGTAGAGCTGAAATAGTTAACGCTTACAACAATATCTTAGGCACGGACGCAATTCGTTCTGCTAACACCTTCACAGAGTAAGACTTAACTTTTAAATTCGCAGCCGTATTTTTATTAATTCACTCAGCTTCTTTCAGTTATAATGATTAAAAATATGCCCCCACCATTAAACTAATATACAATTTGTAATCAAGCAAAAGTAATTGATCTCGAATTAACGAGAATTCAAAACTCAGTTGCCAAAAGTCAAGTTGTGTCTCCAAAGCTTACCTTCAAAACTTAATGAGTGGTGCCGCCAACATCTGGGCATCTGAAAGGACTATGGAATACTCTGCCTGGACTTCACCAATAGCCAGTGAAGAGGGCAGTCGAGCTGTGGTTCTTAGTAAAGACGGTGATTGGAGTCTAGAAAGTGATCTGCCAGAAGATTCATCTGTTTTGTGCAATGTTGGCGGTAAGTCAGAGAGTGAGACACACTTTGGTCCATGCAGTTGTTTGTGTGTTGAATCGTTTCTCTAGAATTAGAACGGATAACTTAACAATGACCATTCGTTAAGTTATCCGGTCATTATTCGAAGCTTTTTTTACAGCTTTCAAGCTTTCAAGGTAACTTTGCAATTATTTGTAAACACCATCAACAGTCACCTGTTAACACCATGTCCTCCCGATCAGATTCAACTAAAGCACTAAAGTTTCAAACTCCTTCCGACTTCTCCCAAATACGGGTCTCAAAAACAGAAGCGTTCAGGAAACTCACAATATGTTGGGCTGCATCAGGGTCCGGAGTTCTGCTGCACTACACAGGAGTGTCTTCTATTACTGGGAAGGATATTTACATTGCAACAGGTGGAGTGTGGGACTGTGGGAGACTTAACTTGGTGTCTGCTGTCTAGCTATAGTTCTGATATGTTCATATTATAGTGTGACCATCTCACTCGATCACTATAACTCGCTTACTATTTTATCAGCTAATAGCTATTATTTCAAAGTACATACAACGATCCCATTATTCTAGGAAACTAACAAAACATCCTCCCATTAGAGATAATAAACGCTCGAACTTACTTGACTGTCTACATTGCTGGATACCCGGAGTATTTTGATGTTGACTCAAGCATTGGAAACTACATTTGTCTAAGATGGGAGAAGAGTACAGGAAACATAGATCTTGCGATTAATGGAGAGTGGGTTGTTGGCAAAAACACGTGTAAGCTATAAGTATAGTGATTGTGGATGCGTTATGACATGCCATTCCTCATGTCTGATAGTTTACTCATTTATTTACATTCCGCCTCTGAAAGTCTGAAAGGTTTCATTCGATTGATGATCTATTTGTTGTATTATTTGTTCCAAAACAATCATACAATTTCTTCAGATGCGAGCAGTCGAAGAATCAACCTTCCCAAATCAGGAAGATTAGTGATTGGAGCTGAGATCAACACGGCTGTGGATCCTATGCTGGTTGACGCTAATTCAGGTATTTTCTTCACATCAAAATTCCACGAAGCATTTCATGTATACATGATGAAGATCACTATTTTTTCGTTACGTTATCGAAACGATCTCTGACATGAAAGTAAAAATTCAGTAAGCTTCTAATTATACAGGTCGTTGGACGGGTCTGATCAAGAACTTGGTTATCTGGGACAGATTCTACAACCCTCTAATGCTAATAAAAACATCAGAAAAAGCTATGTGTAGTGAACGAGCAAAGTCTAGCGATGGGTGGTTAACATTTGAGATGGTTATAGCGGGGTCAACAAACCATGAGATGTATTCTAACTTTGAGTATTCATCTAGTAATTGTGGCCAGGTCTGTGGAGAATCTTAGGGGAAGATTTAACGAGTTGAATGACTTATGCCATTTTGGATTCAATGTTTTTGAAACAAATCATTATGAAGCTGTTATCGTGGCATTTTGTGAGCCAGTTACATTCTGGATTCAGCAATTTGCTGAATACAAGATTCTATGCTGTTAACCCACTTACCAGTATTCTGCCTATACGTTACATGTTATAGGCATATATAAATGAATAAGTTAACGTAAGTTTTCCCAAGTTTAATGAAGAAAACGAGAACAGATATGAGAAGAGAGATGAGAAGAGAGATGATGATAGGGATGAGCCCAGCTCAATATCAATAGATTACTCAACCTACTCATCGGATCCCACCTTTGTTTTTAAGTGGGTTAAATCAACAGAAGAAGGGGTGACCATCAGTATCGCTGAGGATATGAATTACATTGTTACAAAACTCAGTGATAAGGGTAAGAACTGATAAATAATAAAATCAGATGTGAATAAATGCTATATTGCTGTGATTGTTGTTTAAATTAGCATTGCGTCGGGTCTATTTTTTAAACAATATTTGTACAACACCAACCACATCATGACATTACTTAGAAATGAGTAAGTTTTAAAATCCTCACCTTTTTTCTCCAGGGAACATAAAACTGGACCCTCTCTCTGCACTTTGTATATCTGGGTTAAAAGGAACATCCAGTTACGCGTTTGTTGTGGCTGCTCACAGTACTGGTCTAACAACGTTGCAAGTCGGACAAAAGATTATCACTGTAATAGTGGAAGAAGATTATTTTATCAACTTCTAATCAGAATTGAGTTAAAATACCAAGTTGAATTATTCAAACCGTCAAATTATTCAAACCGTTTTTAATTTATTGATGTGAGATTCAAAAAAAGATACGTTCATCGTAAGTTGTTACGCCATGTTATTCTAAAACTAACAGCTTGAGGAATTACCAATGTTTCAGGTACCCTACGGCACTCCCGGATCCGGGCAAGTAGAGAATGTGTATCCAGTTGGAGATAAGATCTGTATCACAAACGTGCTCGCTCCCTCCGACTATGCTCCTCTAGATGGTGTGTGTCTAGTAATGTTGTGTGGATTGTGGATAATACATACAACTTGGTAGCTGTAAACTTCAAAACTCTAAAAGCTTCAGAGAACTTAAAACTCATACTACTTATCAAATTTGACCGTAAACAAGGTGAGTAACATTGCAGATTCTTGATACGATAAATGGTTAACATGGCAACTCACCAGGTTTTATCGAGAGTATCCATTACATGGTAGATTCAAAGGATCCATTACCGTGCCCAAGTGAGGAACAGATCACCACGGATCAGGGCGTTTTGGTTTGGCCTCCAGTAAAAGAGTCTGGAGATGTTACCACAGCTTGTAAGTTGAAATGAAATGAAATGAGGTATTTATATCCCGCTCATATGATTAACCAACAACACAAGGAAGGTGGTTAACCATGTCAGAGCGGCTGACTGTGATTGATGTGAGCAAATGTGTAAAAGTGAACAAAAGTATAACTCAAAAGTATAACTTCATAGGATATTTATTGTGCGTAATCTTGTTCGATTCGATCAGAATCCAAAGGACTTGATCATGATGATAGCCTTTATGATCAATTTGAAACCACACTTAACACTAAAAATCCAACGTGCCACAAGGTAAACTTACTAACAGTGAACTTAGTTTAAAAAGTTTACACAGTAGTTTATACAGTTTACAAAGTAAACTTACTATTTACTAACACCACCCCACGAAGGTCAGTACGGCAAAGTATCAGACTACACGAAAGTGGGACTAGCCACCAGAACGTGTAGCCAGTCCGGGTGGAGTGGAGTGGGTGATGTGACCGCGTGTGCTGTGAAGTACACTATACCTACCAAGGAGGCTGAGGAGTACTTTGAGGACACTGAGATTACTGATGAGAATGTAGAGGAGTTTGCTGATACAATTAACCAGGTATACCTTATCCGTCGGATTACTTACTAGTGAAACGGTTTAACTCTTTAGGGTATATATATTTCTAAATAACTTATGCCAAATTGTAATAATATGTTATATGTGCTTCGGATTCTGTATTATTATCCTTAAAATTGGTTTTTGTGATTATGTCACTATCAACTGGAGTTGAACCTTTCTAATTTTGGGGCATGGAATTTAGCGGCCGTTCAGAAACCAATAATAACGGCCGCAATTATTGTTTGGAGCGAAATTTAATCTGCTATTTCTGCTGCAGTTTATCTGTTCTGATATCTTGGTTAAGTTTAATCTTTATTTACACGCGGTGGCCTGTTTTAGCGTCGATTTACTTCTCGATCTAAGAGCCATGTTTTTTTACGTGCTCTGTGACATGTCAGTCCCTTTTGCATCCTTCGTATTAGTGGAACTTAGCGGACTAATTAGACCCTTTAGGGTGTTGATCGCGATCGCGATTTATATTACAGTCAATGTTACCTAAAACTGTAGTATCTTCTACTTCTATCTCGGCTACATTCCCTGTTCTTGGCTTTAGCAAGATATCCTCCCATTTAATGTGTCTTTGTTCCCCGTATGTCTCCTCTATGTTCGATCCTATCCCTGCATCTGACATCGCTTTTATTTCGGCGGCGCTGAGCTCTTTGGAAAACACGTTGAGTTTCGCCATTTCTCCTCCAAATTGCAATCCTACAGCCGCACCGTTGTTTCCTCTATCACCAATGCAATCATTGCCTATGACAAGAAAGCCATTCAGAGGAATGGGGACTCCAGTGGAACCTTTTGAACCAGTTTTTAAATGGTTGCCATCCTTATAGATGCTTATTGTGTTCAGTGATCGACTCCAAGTTGAGCATAGATGATACCATTCTCCTATTGGCACGGATCCGAATTGGTCAAGCCAAGTGGGGCCAAATCCGTACCAAGCATTCCATTTTCCACTATCTGATATGACTATTTCACCTCCCATGCAGTATCCGAACCAGATGGTGTAATATGAAGACCGCAACTTTTTGATCCAGGAACATACTGACATTGCCTCTGTGAACGGTCCCATGTCCGGCTGATATTCAATGTAGCTAGTTCCATCGTCGCCGAACTTCAGACCTTTTCCGTTTCTTCTGGTTAGTTCGATCGCTGCGGAAAGCACACCCTCGTCAATAAGTTATAAATAGAATAGTATTTGTCATGTCAAGAGAAAAAAAACGATCAAACTAATATAATATTTTATGTCAAAAGGAGTTGGGGATAAATGCTTAATTCAAATATAATTTCATATCATATCTTTTCACGCGTGTCTTACCTTGATACGCTTGTGCAAGTATTGATAGAATTATCAATAAAGTGAAGCAATTCTTCATTGTGTATGAATCTTGTCTCGTTCTCAAGAGATCTCTGACCTTGACTGATTTCTAGTTTCACCTTAACTTCGCTAATATAGTATGGAAATGTTAACATCAACGAATTGATTTTGAGAGAGAGAGAGAGAGAGAGAGAGAGAGAGAGAGAGAGAGAGAGAGAGAGAGAGAGAGAGAGAGAGAGAGAGAGAGAGAGAGAGAGAGAGAGAGAGAGAGAGAGAGAGAGAGAGAGAGAGAGAGAGAGAGAGAGAGAGAGAGAGAGAGAGAGAGAGAGAGAGGGAGAGCAAGCAGTTACCTGGGGACCTCCGATTAAAGATATGGCAGAATGGCAGCGCGCCCCACCCAGTAAGCAAGCAGGTGACCTGACTAACTTTCACTAGACCAGCGTACTGAATAGCTCCTAACTGAATAGAGAGCGAGAAAGTGACCCGCTGTCATTACGAACAATGACAGCTAGACCAGGATTCCTGGACCAGGAACCACTGCTGCGTCGGAGACTGAGGACTGGTGGAAGTGTTCTATTCCATGTTTATACTCAGGAGCTACGTAGGTTACAGATCTAGGTACTAGTGACTAGGAAATTGGTATACCTTACGACAAGCTTCATTGTTACCGGAGCCTCGGTCAAATCTTCCTAAAATATCAGTCACTCTGGCTGCTTCCTTCAAGACATAACTCTGCTAGACAATGTCTAAGCTGCTTTAAGTGTTTCGTATCTTATTCTGTATCAATACATGGGGAACTACGGAGGGGTTTGCCAGCGTCAGGAAAAGAAGAAAACTGCTTCGATAAAACCCAGGCCGGCTATTGATCTAGATACTAGTGGTGAGGCTAAGTATATTCGTTTTTACACGTGACTGTTATTTTGTAAATCCATTGGTTGATGGCTGCTGCTAAAAGCTCATTGGTCATGGTGAATCGCTGACACGTGTCAACAAGGAGAATATCTACCGCCACACCCGACCACCAGTATCAAAATCTATTGTTACCGCTTATCGAAGACGAAAGCCGTGGTTTATAAATCCCCCTCAAAATATCAGTCACAAGCCGCTCAAGCTGCTACCAAGACAAAAATCAAGACAAAAATCGGTAAAATCTGTTCCATAGGCTTTAAGTGTTTCGTCTTCATGCTCAATGTTCATGCTGTCATACGTCAACATCGCGAAACTTAACAATCGACCTAGGAACCGACCGGAATGGGCTTTTGGCTGCCGGACCGGATTTTGCCGGATTTTGCCGTACCGGAACCGGTTGTTAGGAAGGGCAAATATAAGGCTGCCGGAACTTGCCGGAATGTGCCGGATCTTGCCAGAAAATTTTAATTATTCCTTATTATTGGGCTTTTTTCATTATCTAGCTATGAACTAGCTTTTGTAGATTGGAAATGGGTTATTTTTGAAAACTTCCTGCTTTCACGAAGGAAACATATCCATGTTAATTGTATCTAGGTCAAATCAGACAATTATGGGAAACATTTACAATAATGTTGGTTGTGATTTCAGGTTGTTCAAGAAACAGACACAGTTACCCAGCAACAAATGGTGACAGCAGCTGATGCTATGGAGAAGCTCACTAATACCACTAACGTTACGATAAGCAGCACAGCCATGACAACAGTTGTCGAGGTAATAAAGATATTGATTATTGGAGTCTTCATTCGCATACAAAGTTATGTTTCTATGCATGACTTTAATCGTGGAATTTGAAATTGTGAGTTTTGACTAAATGCCAATTTTTATTGATAGTTCTAAATCTTCCTCAACTTAGATTGCCAATATAATCAATATAAACGGTGAATCTGAAACGGAGGAAATAAAAGAGGATGAGGCGAAAACTGCCACTAGGTAAGCCGATACTATTTATACTTAGATTCAATAAAATATAAACAATAATCCGAATCACCTGATATTATCAAACCAATTTAAAACAATAACATAAAACCTTCTCAGGATCGTAGAATCGGTAGAAAAACTGGCAGGAAAAGTTGACGTACCCGTCAACGAGACATTTGTCGCCAAAACAGAGACCGTTAGTGTCGCGGTTCACAAACCACCAAACCCAGATAATTCTAGTGGGAAGGAACACCTGGGGGATATTACTGCTTTCTTTATCGAGTTCTGTAAGATGAACAACTTTCTTTAAAGATATGCTTTTATTGCAAGTTGCAACTCTTCCTTTTTTTTCCTTTAACCTCTTACGAAACATGGACAATAGTTAATGACAGAAAACTATAAAGTGTAGAACTAATTTCTCATTGACATTTTTGACAGACATTTTTGATATAAAATAGCAACTAGTCTACCTATTTATATTATAAGAAGAGCGTTCTATAATTCTTTAATATCGAAATAGCAAGCATTGTTCCGCAGATGATGGAACTGATATAGACGTCTCTACTAAAAAAGTAGACCCGCTGAAGAAGAGTGAAAATGATAGAATTACCATTAGGTTTCCTAGCTTAGTTTAAATACTGTATCTTATATTAATTTTATGTAGATTGTAGAAATGATCTCGAACCTTTGCTGAAAGAATTTCAGCAGCCAATGATTCAGAGCTACTTGCTTTCTATTTCTTATAATTTGTTATTTCCAGGAGAGAACAGATCAATCCCGGGGAAAATGTTTGGTTTACGAGCTACAGAGAGGGAAGTTCTCTGTTCAACTCGGATACTACAATTGAAGTTGATGGCGAAATTATCGGCGCAGGTTCGATCGCATTGTGTATTGTATTGGTGTTGTATCCATTGTCCAAAAAGTTTACTATCGTGTAACATGAAGATATTTATTAATAATGGTGTAGTATAACATGTGAAGATCGTGTTTTAAAATGTCAAAATGTAACGGCCATACGTGGTACTGATTGTAAAATACGAATTAACTTTAACATTAAAGGTAACAAATGTTTGTTATGAATATATCAATATCAATACAAAATATTGGACAAAATAGTTTTACAGGGATCGGAGAAAAGAAAAAGAAATTCGAGGACGGAAAGGGGATTATCATGACATTTTACACCTATTATGATTTGGAGAAAGAAAATGCGCTTTGCCAGTTCTGGGACACTTCTGGCAAAGTTGGAAGTAAGAAACCTTAAACCATTGTCAAATAATTAGAGATTGATTGTCGAGCTCAACATTTCTGATTCGAGGATTCTGCGACAAGATTAACAATCAATAATACAAATTTTCGCTTGGAAACTTCTACGGTACTCATGTATTTACACAACATGTTCCTGTAAAAATTGTAAAACTATACCACTATTCTCGCAGAGTGGAGTTCAGAGGGTATGAAGTTTATCAACAAAACAGATCTCTACATCACATGCCAGTCCAATCATCTCACAAACTTTGCTATCCTCATCAACCCTAGCAACAAAATAGTAAGCTATCTATTTTGATAGGATTGAGTAATTCAAAAGGCATCGCTTGTTATGTAAGATATATGTAAATCTAATCTGAATATTGAATCTATCTTTAACAAAGTTTTAAAAGTTTTTCAAAAATATTTGCTACTTTTGAAATTTGAAAATATCGTCTGACAGTTTGCAGGTGGACAGCGGTTAGCCCTGCAGATAATCACGATTCTCGGAACAGTCCTGTCAATGATAGGTCTTGTGGCTACTATTGTTGGGCTGTCTGTTTTCAAGTTAGTTGTCAAGTTATGATGTTGCTTCTATTCTTACGATCGGATTTTAATATCGTTTGATAATCACTATCTTTTTTAAATTTTTTATTTTACTCTATCTTTTAGACAGATAAGATCAGTTCTGACGAACAAGGTTCACATAGGACTATCCTCCTCCCTTCTTATCGCATATTTCTTTCTCCTTGTCGGAGCAGATTTGGTCGGAAGCGAAGGTAAATATTTTAAATTGTCTCTTGAAATAATATTATCATTTTCTAATCCTGAATTCTCTTCACGAACTACAATCCTAATTTCCTTCGCTATTTATAATCACATCTTTACAATATGTTTCCAGGAGTTTGTTATTTCTTCTCGATAGTAACCCACTTCTGGTTCCTCTGTGCTTTCTGCTGGATGATGTGTGAAGCTCTGAACCTTTATCTCAGACTAGTGGTAGTCTTCGAGACTTACTCTAAGATGTTTCTTAAGTACTCCATATTTTCACTTGGTAAGTTTTAATTGTTAATGTACGTTTTCATGCTTTTTATTGTTGCTTATTCACCGTGGAAAACATTTTCATAAATCTGTTTCAGTCAATCCTTTGAAGTTAGTTCTAAGATTCATCATGAAAGTGCTCTTATTTTATCAAATAACGATTCAGTGACGCCGCTTGTGATTGTGTTGGTAACTGTCATCGTGGAATTTGCTGGAGAGAATGGAGCTTACATTATCAGCAATAAAGCCAGTGGAAGTCGCCTATAGTTAGTTTTATATAAGTTTCAATACCAATTTTTAATAAACTTCAGAGTCAATAGTGGTGTAAAAACTATCGAACCAACTGTCTAGTAGCAGTTGGTCGGACAAACTACTTTCAAACCTGGTTACACAAACCCGGTAACAAAACTGGTAACCTGGTAACAAACCTGGTAACCTGGTAACAAACCTGGTTACAAACCTGGTTAACTGGTTACAAACCTGATAACCTGGTAACAAACCTGGTTATAAACCTAATAACCAGGTAACAAATCTGGTAACAAACCTGGTAACCTGGTTAAACTTCAGTTGCTGGTTGGACTACAAAGCAAGGATGGTTGCATTCATGCTGCCTCTAATCCTAATACTATGTACTAATCTAATAGTGTTTATCATCGTCATGAGGGTCTTGTTCTCCAACAAACAGGGTCATGCCTCCCCCACCAACAAGTAAGTGTATTTTCACGATATCAAATAAGAGGGACCATTTAACTCATTTATACAGACTACCGTTATATCCTTATGCGACATTTATCTTCTGGTGTATTGCGTAGAAAAATCTTAAGATCCTCCCAAATTAATCTGGAGTTTACAGTTTTGCGAGTACAACTTGTGAAGTTGGACCCCTTATTTAACATTTACCCATGTTTTGCAGATCGCATTGGATAGCTAGATTAAGATCAGCAGTAGTAGTGTCAACTCTAATCGGGCTGTCATGGATAATGGGTATATTCGCTCTCGGAGAGGCCAGCTTCGTTATCAATGTTATCTTTACTCTTGTGAACAGTCTGCAAGTACGGTGTAATAAGGATCTTTTACTTTCACTAGAAATATTAAGGTTTTTTAACGTTCAAAAAATGTTATATTTCATTACGTTTGGATTCTCAAAAATCTTGTCCGTTTCAAATTTATTCTTTTGGAGCTTTCTAATGACTAAATTTCAGGGGGTGATGATATTTTATTTGTACTGTTTCTCTAAAAAAGAAGTCTTCACGAAGTGGAAAAGTACTATCCAGAGCTCGCTCGACAAATCGAGTATAGCAGGTCAGTTTGATGTTGTATTGAAATGCATTCCAAAATAAATAAAAATCATGCGATGATTCCTTTGAGCTATGTGACCGATGTAACGCATTTTATTAGCGGACTTCTGCTTAATTGCTTATAGAATCGAAATCGGAGGCTTTTTTGACATGAACTATCTTTGTACATACATTTCTCAACTATCATCAATCCTCAGATTACAAGAATGGAACCAATACGTTTAACTCTGGACCGCCTAGAACGAACAATGGCATTAACAGCACCTCAACAACCAACCTTAAAACTGGTCCGAGTGTGTTACGTAACATAGACATGGACAGCCCTGGGGAAAATGTAATTATTCTCACTGATACAAATATAAGTGAACTTTTGGTTTAATTTCTAACGTATCACGCTGATTTCAATGCGAACGTCTTGTGAGCTCTCCGATTACACAAGACTAATATAAGTCGAACAGCTATAATTGATTCCTCGACTACTCATTGTATTTTAAACCAGGAGGAAAAGTTGACAAACAGCCCTGAGGTAGAACAAACGATCAGTAACGTGGAGCCAGAGGAAGAGGTTCATCCCCAGAGCTCCCCTGAAATTACACCACCTTCCCCAGCAAGTTTAAAGAAGATTTATCTGGTTTGCACCACTGAAATTCAGCCACCTTCTCTAACTGAAGATGAAAATATGGACCAGATTCCTATCCCTGAAATTCCACCACCTTCTTCAGCAAATGAAGAGAAAATTGATCATATTTGCACGCCTGAAATTCCTCCTCCTACTCCAACTGAAGATGACAAGATACATCTGAGTAGGCGTAGCCCCTCTGATATTCCACCACCTACCCTCTCTGAAAATAACACTATAGATGACCGCAAACTTACTGAAGTTCAGTCTCCTACCCCAACCGAGGATGATCATATAGACCAGAGTATTTCCTCTGACATTCCATCCCCTGAACGAGAGGAACAGGAAATAGCTACTGATATGTTACACTTCCTCATGTAGGGGGTACAGAATTTTGATTAACTTCAATAAGCAGTACGACTTGAAGATACTTTCCATCTGCGATGGTTCCTATTCTGTCAGGAAATTGCTTAGGGCAAACCTCGTATCTTTGAATGTTTCTTAGTTGACAAGAGGCACTTTTGTTCGCATACTAAGATTTAATTTAACTTAATGAAACCGAGTCGTATTTTGGAAATATGGTAGAATTGTTTCTTACCACAAATCAAATTAAAAAATTTAGTACCTTGGGTGAATTTTAAATGAACGTTATAAATTAAACGGTAAAATTAATATATCAACTGCTTTTTGATATCAGCTTTTGTGCCTTTTGACGCATATAATGAACGCATTGTGCGAACTGCGAGGGCCTCAATGTATTGTTCATTAGTTCATTGACTTTGCCTTTACAAATTGAGATTCAGTTTTATTACTTGGAGACATGTTGGACGAAGAAGACAAAGAACGCATAAATACTAATAGATCGGTACTTTTATGAATATATTTAAGGAGTTCCTTTGGTTAGAGAAATTGGACAGTAACTCATATATATATATTTCATTTTTATTAGATATTCAAAGGACAACAAAATGTCTTCGCTCTTCACATAAAGTCACTACTTGCCAGCAGCAAATAATAGACCGTCCTATCATTTTGCTTTGTATGTTTCTACTCGATAACTTGTTTTTCTTGGTTTATACTATCACAGTGCTGGCAAGCACGACCGTCGCCATTATATAAGTTATAATACTCATTATACTATTTACCCCCTGACCCTGGTCATTAGGAAAGTTCGCACGAGATGGATCACGTTTTTCCCAATTTTACTTTAGAAGATTGTAACAGCAAGAAATTTTAAGATAGGCATATGATATTTCAGATGTCTATAGTTCAACTGATTGAGTTTCGATTAATACAATTTTTGAAGCATTTAGTCGAGGGCAAATTGAGGCTAACGAGTCATTTTAATTTTTTTTCTAATGACAGCTTCCAAGCATGCAATAAAAGTTTAAACGTGTTTAATAATCGATTCATCAGATCTCACTTTTTCAGAATCCGAAGAGAAGAGGGAAATTTGTTCGCTAATTGAGGAGAAAATTAGGCTAACAAGTCATTTCTAATTTTTGAATTATATTTGAATAATAACGTCTATCAAAGTATCCTCTGACCTAAAATACATGAGATGGATGCTCTAGGTCGAAGGCCGGCCCGGCCGACCCAGCTGCTTCTTCGTAGTTCGTACTAGCCCTTAAAATTGTTTCTGTTTAACCTGTATTCATGAATAGTCGACTATCATATACTAACCTGACATGAGTTTTGGGAGGTGAGATTGAGGCTAACTCCTGTCACGCTTATTTTGATATTTAACAAGTGATAGTTTTAATGTTGAATACTTTTATTTATTGTAAGATTTAATTTTTGCTTTGACTAAAGATCAATAAGGTTATGGTTCCTTAGTTTAATGAGTTCAAAATTAGACTAACTTGCTGACACTCTATAAAACATGCTTTTTAGATTGTTATCCATATGGTTAACCATATTCTAACATTACATCTGATTGCGACACAAGTTACTCGATGGTTTGATCTGTTAGTCCCAATTTCGCCTCCCGGAGAGAGGGTAGCCTCAATCCAACCTCACATAAGTTATGATAAAGTCTCAATAACCTTCGGGCTGCAATAACAATTTTTTTAGTGGGTCTACCTTATCGGACCTTATTTGACATCAATTGAACGCTGGAGGCCCTAGCGTTCATCTTAATGTCCGTTCAAATAATGTCCGTCCGTTTAAGGTCCGCCCAAATTAAAGTCCATTAAATATTTTTCAAAAATTATTCCACTGCGAACTTGTCCAGGATATGACAACTTTTTAATTTCAGTTAATTTTAACTTCTATCATCGAACTAAACTATATCATTGGATCAATCATTTATTATAAAATTTATATTTTCTAATTATCATATTATGGCACTTCTCTACTTTCTTAACTTACGGTTCCTCGTTCATTTCTTCGGAGTTACTATTATATTAATATCTACCTAGCCACATATAGATACCTAGATCTCTAACAACTGGTTATTTATCCAACTCGTAGTTGTAACCGGTTAATGAACGATATCAACTGCTCTACCAGAGACACTAGAATTCCTGAAGTACAACTTGAGCTTTATCTCTAGCCCCCCCCACTTGGCAAAGGCTACCTTCGGTGGTTCATGTCAACGACGATACTTTCTACCATACCAACCATCTCGATGATATAGAATTCGAAAACCTGGATATCTTCCGAGGGATATGGCCGACGTACCTTCATACCTCATCTGCACAGCATTTAACATTTAAATGCCTAACAACTGCTTTTCAGTTTCTTACTTCCTGTATGAAAAATTGATTTAAAAATTATCTGTTAAAATTGAAAACAATATGAATAAATTCTGATTTTTAATAGTTTTGAACTTTTTCGAGCTTTCATTTTAATGTCCGTTCAACATTATGTCCGTTCACATAATTTCCATTCAAATAAGGTTCGATAAGGTATAACCTGTTTCCGTACATTTAAGTTAAAAAACGGTCGAATTCTTTATTAGCCTCATTTTGGCCTCCTAGCTACAAGTAGACTCGGCAATTTCTGAAATGTTGAGCTTGAAGAGGATGAATCAATCTTTATTGTTGACACATTAGATAGTCACAATACCAACCCTGCTCGAAAATATACACAAAAGTATACTTGTTAGCCTCATTTCATCCTCTCAAAAGGTGGTTAGCCTAATTTTCACCTCGTATATTTAAAGCTTAGATCTCGATCAAGTATAATCACTATGGATTATACTTGCAACTTGGATATCATGGACGTAACATGAGAAGGTCTTTTTTAAAGTGATGAGGCTAATTCGTTAGCCTCAATTGTTCCTCGCAGTTCAATCACTCTTAGTCTTACTGAGTCTCGTGAGTAAGCTAAAAGGTCGCCGGACATCTCATTTTAAAGCTGTATCAATTTTCTATACGCATATCAAAAATCAAATGCGTAACTAAAACAGAAATGAAATTTTAAGTTTTTAAGAAATTTGCGCAAAATACGCGCCAGCACTGTTATACGAAATTATAACAATGCTAGCGAAAAGCGAGCGACCGATTTCATTCTCGGTATCATTTTGCATTTACGGACGGTCATTCAAATTAATATCATTTACTTTTGTTTGGGAAAGAGACACTGGCAGCGATCCACTCTACCCAATTATGGGTTTTGGTCAAATGATATATATTATATACAATATAGAATTCAGTACCGTCCTAACAAAACATTAAATATTAAGTTTTTCAGCAACTTAGAAATCCGTTGATGGTCTCTTAATGGTCGCTGAAGGGTTGCTTTAAAAGGACCCTTGTTAGGGACCTTTAATTCCATAAAAGCATTAACGATGAGAACTTCCAATTATTGATGCTTCAGAAGTGATAATATGTCGAACAAAACACATTCAGAATTTGTGGTTAAAACAGACGCTTGTATTCAAGGAGACTTTCCAAATATCTGTGCCTTTCGCCTCATAAATGTAAGTTCGCACGTGGGGCAATGTGATAGTCCGTTAAACTAATAAGATATATTCTGGAACAAGTAAACCACTATATCACAATTTGTATCACTGCATAGTGAATAATAGGCCCAGTTTACAATTTGAATTATATGACCAGTGCATAAAAAGACCAGCGCAAAATATTTCCAGTGCAGAATTTTCCAATGATTGCGTTAAATATTTCGTGTCACAAATACTTTATCGGACTTTCTTTGGTCGGACATTACGTGGGCGCTATATAGAGGGCTCAGCGTTCACGCAATCTCCGTCCGAATAAGGTCCGGTAAGGTCCGATAACAAAGCTTGATGATATTTCTATTTCAGGGAGGGACCCTGGCGTTGGTTAGTTTCTGTGGTATCTTACTGAATATAATCGTCATGTTTGTCATAATCGGACGAAAAGTTAACCTGAGTAACCAGGTGATTCGACTGTTTTATGATTTTACATATGTATGGATATCAACGGGGCACGGCATGAAAGCAATCATATGAACGTGTAGCAATACCGACCAAATAGTGCAATAATGCAATGCAGTATAAGTGTATCATAATAAAAACAAGTTTGATTTGAGAGAATTTTGATGACCAATTCAATTTCAGAAATATTTCATGTTCAATCTGGCTATTAGCAATAGTCTCATAGCGATTGTTGGCATGTTCAGAGGACTGGGAATCATAGACCCCAGTTTTGTTGGGTTCGTGGGTGGAGAAGAAAATGGATGGTGTTCAGCTTACCTCCTATTCATGATGCTTGTAAGGTAGGAGCAACACATTTTTATTTATATTAATTTTAATATTATAAACTCCACAAAATACTCAGACTTAAAAGCTCACTCCATAGCGATAATGGCTTCAATAAAGTTAATATATTATGTTGCCTCAATTACAATATCAAATCAGCTTCCCAAAAATTAACTATCAATCAGCTATTCGAACTGTCCTTGTATGGTAGCTCTGACATTTGACCGTGTGGTGGCCATCTCAAAACCCTTCATGCACAGAACTTTTTTCACGAAGTGGGTTTGTATAGGAATCTGCGTAGCCGTGTGGTTACCTCAGGTCTTCTTTTACTGCTGGTTCATGGTGACGATGTTCACAAACGAGGAAACTGTTAGCGTAAGTATTAATTAACTAGCGTAAGTATTAATTAACTAGCGTAAGTATTAATTAACTAGCGTAAGTATTAATTAACTAGCGTAAGTATTAAGTAACTTAGCGTAAGAATTAATTAACTAGCGTAAGTATTAATTAACTAGCGTAAGTATTAATTAACTAGCGTAAGTATTAATTAACTAGCGTAAGTATTAATTAACTAGCGTAAGTATTAATTAACTAGCGTAAGTATTAAGTAACTTAGCGTAAGTATTAATTAACTAGCGTAAGTATTAATTAACTAGCGTAAGTGTTAATTAACTAGCGTAAGTATTAATTAACTAGACAGACAGACAGACAGACAGACAGACATACAGACAGACAGACAGACAGACAGACAGACAGACAGACAGACAGACAGACAGACAGACAGACAGACAGACAGACAGACAGACAGACAGACAGACAGACAGACAGACAGACAGACAGACAGACAGACAGACAGACAGACAGACAGACAGACAGACAGACAGACAGACAGACAGACAGACAGACAGACAGACAGACAGACAGACAGACAGACAGACAGACAGACAGACAGACAGACAGACAGACGTTAGATTTGGGAGTTTTAGATGAGCGCCACATTTAACACAAGTTACTGTATTGTACAAAATTTCAGATGGAGTACTACCCCAACTATCATCGTTGCCAGAATTCCTACAAAAATCCATGGCTTCGAACAGTTAGATTTGTTGCTCTCGTGTGGGCACCTTTCTCACTCATCATACTCATGTACTCCATCATAATCTACAAGTAAATATTTAATTAAGTTAATTAATTATGCTTAATCAAATTTTAGATAAAGTTAAAGAATGAAAGTCGCATAGACTAAGTCTTAACACTAAGTGCTTATTTCTTTATCTCATAAATGGGGGGGGGGGGGGGGGGGGGGGGGGGGGAGGGGGGGCATACATATGTAAAACAATGAGATAGACAAGCTTATGACATTTTAGGGTGATAAGATCTGGAGCGAAGACACGACGTCTGCTGGCTATTTCCACTGTCATCATAGTCTCTGGGATCATCTGCTGGTTCCCTTCCATCATCTCCTCCATCTTTTCCATCCCGATGAATTACAAAGTGGCCCAAGTCTTGACTGTCTCTCTTTTCTACATGAGTAGCTCTACAGACCCACTCGTGTACGTCCTACTCATGCCGGCTGTTAAAAAGTATTTGATTACCAAATTTGTCAAGTGCGAGGAGCCTCCACCCATTTCAAGCAGCTCTGGTCGGCCAAGTCAGACCAGCAGTGTTGTGACTGCTGGTCCGCAGATCAGCACCGTAAGCACCGTACAACCCAGAACTAGCAGGGTTTCAACCGTAAGCACCGTACAACCCAGAACTAGCAGGGTTTCAACCGTAAGCACCGTACAACCCAGAACTAGCAGGGTTTCAACCGTAAGCACCGTACAACCCAGAACTAGCAGGGTTTCAACCGTAAGCACCGTACAACCCAGAACTAGCAGGGTTTCAACCGTAAGCACCGTACAACCCAGAACTAGCAGGGTTTCAACGGGTTCCCGAAAATGAGGACACTATACAAATGTATAGTCAACGAAGGACTGCACTACTCGGAGTCCAGAGATACAGCCAAACCACACCACCGTGTGCAAACTTGGAACTTTATCTGATCACTCAAACCACAGTGACTAATGGCTATCTTAGCCTTGTGTAAGCTTGGAACTATATCTGAACTCAAACCACAGTGATTATCTTAGCCTGGTGCAAACTTGGAACTTTATCTGAACTCAAACCACAGTGGCTATCTTAGCCTGGTGTAAACTTGGAACTTTATCTGAACTCAAACCACAGTGACTATCTTAGCCTGGTGTAAACTTGGAACTTTATCTGAACTCAAACCACAGTGACTAATGGCTATCTTAGCCTGGTGCAAACTTGGAACTTTATCTGAACTCAAACCACAGTGACTATCTTAGCCTGGTGCAAACTTGGAACTTTATCTGAACTCATACCGTGGTGTCTCCTCTGTAAAAGTGAGCCGAGCTCTTAAAATACCTATTAATGCCTGCTGTAAAAAACTAATTGTTAAAAAGATGGCTGTCAGAAAAAGCGATCAAGAGAGTACCAATAGAGAGTTATTCTAACTTACAGGCAGCCATCGATTGGGAGATTTGTGCTTATTTCATTTAACTAAAATTGATCTAATATTTCGTTGGGAATTTTATTTTATGCTTTTTCTCACGAAGGAGTTTCGTTGATATCGAATATAATAATCCGCATAATTTAACGAAAAGTTTTAGTCGAGTGTCGATGTTGTCTGACTGTATTCGACATTTATAAAAGACTGGCCCCTGGCTGACTGTTATTATTAGCAGACAAAGTACTGAATCTTAGAGATCGCTGGATAAAATTAGCCAGATTTACCTAAAGATTTGACCATTGTTCATGTTAATGGTCTCCGTCTAGCCCGGCGCGCTACTTCGTAGCACTAGCACTTGCCATCGCTACTAAGACGAGTAACATCCGTCAACCTAAATGCTAAAGATCTTATCTAATCAGTAAATGATGACAGCAACTCCATCAGTTAAATAATCTAACAAAGAAATCATTAAATTGTTAATTCACCAACGTCATTTACATTTTTACTTTTTAGGTACAAATCGATCGAAAACAGGTTTGACGGGTGATGCTCGTAAAATATATTTTTCGAGGACCGTCTAACTCGGCGCGCGTCCTAATAGGTTATAAACCTACAAAGACAAGTTAGCGATGAAAATAAAAATTACGTAATATGTGAAGGACCCTTAATGATACAGTAGTGTACGGACGTATTACAGTTATCAGAGCTGAGACTTTGAATACTGTATTAAGCTGCAGAAGACAAATCACAAATTCGTCGTTCACAGCTGTATTTGTTCTTTTGTTGATCTGACAGCCAACACCTCAAAGACCGCGGTCTGGGACAAAATTTCGCGGCGGCGGTCTGGGTCAAAATTTCGCGGCAGCGGCGGCCGCGACTCGCGGTGGTGCAAGTTTCTGACGACTGAGTGTAGCGCCGAATTGTCGTGTAGATGACTGATGAAATATCGGATAATGTTGTATATTGTGGATAGACTCCTCACAATTTAATTATTTTCATGTTTAAACTTTAAACTTAACTAACCATTTGTTTTTTTGGATCTTAGATTTCATTTGTTTTATTATGTATCATATTTGGTTCTTCCATAATTTTCAAAGCATCGACAAATACAAATCACTAATTTGATTTTTAAAACACAAAAATTGGTAGGGTAAATTCTACCAATGTTCCTATAGTACATAACCATGCAACATAGGGTAAATATAGACCACTTGACCCTCGTCACGTGATTAACTTTCAGATACAAAACCAGAAATCTTCCCGAACACAAAAACATAATACATCACAAGTGATTCTTCATACGGTTTAAATCAGATCAAATACAATCATTAATCCCGAACTCAATTATTTGCTCAAATCTTTTCAATTTGTTATACCTATTATTATAATTAAAGCTGTCAGTTTCGAAATTGTGGATTCCACTTACAATGTCAATTAGTTGACATAATTTCGCATGTTTTTTTCTCATAAATCTTATACTAGAAAAAGAAATCAAGGTACGGATAAAATAATCTATTAAGAGATAAAATAATGTATATCAAGCTGTTAAGTAAATAATTTCAGATCCTACCAAAAACAGCGGAGATGTAAAGATAAGATTGGCGAAGTCAAATTTTTGTATCGTTTACAGAGCTTAAAGAGTCTACCATTATATTTACAATCCTGTCACAACACACTTTCCCCTCTATTCGCAGTTATGAAAGAAACCAAATTAAAATTACCAATTCAGTTAATCTATCTTAGGTTGTTGAATTCCACCATATACTCTTAGCTACTTTTAGCTATCCTATCTAATTCTATGCCAATACCGATACCAATGCAGTCCAGGCGCCAATGAAATAAGAACTAGAAGACACATGCTATGAAATTATCATATCCAGAGAGAATAATTAACACTTGTCGGTTTCTGCTGCCAGCCCTTTCGTTTAAAATATTTACAAAATTAAATTACAGTTATAAAATATAATTACACAGTTTACACATTCCGTTCGTGCATCAGTTTCTATGCCGAAAAAAAAAACCGCTTCTTAAAGCTGAAAAGCCTCCGGTCTACAGTGTTTAATTAACCAAAAATTCAGAGCCTATGATTATACGTAATTACAATTAAGCATAATCACGAGAATGATTATACTTAATGATTTAAGAGAGTAACTATTTATCTGCGGATAGGTGTGCTAGTGTTTTTAGGTGAGGTAAGAAGTCTGACAGGTCTCTCTGGAGAGGTGTGGCGGATCCGAGGAGAGTAACGTGAGGGAGAGACTGATCTGTCGGGGGAGGCTCGACCACGGTAACTTCTGTCTAACTTGCCAGCCTGAAAGAGAAAGTGAAAGTGAAACTTAAACCGCAATTTGTCTTGAAGTAGAACAGGGAATTGTAAACCATGGTGGATTCAATTCTATCAATTTAATAACACCCTCAACGTCGAAGTGAAAGTAATTAGTGAAATGGCAGTGTGTTCTGTCTAGTAAAGTAGCTAGAACTGACAAATATAAAAATGTAAGTAAATATGTAAAATGTATAAATATGCAAAATATGCAAAATATGCAAAATATGTAAAATATGTAAAATATGTAAAATATGTAAAATATGTAAAATATGTAAAATATGTAAAATATGTAAAATATGTAAAATATGTAAAATATGTAAAATATGTAAAATATGTAAAATATGTAAAATATGTAAAATATGTAAAATATGTAAAATATGTAAAATATGTAAAAATGTAAGTACCTCGTGCTGTAACAAAGAACTGTCCACAGCCGGATCTTTAGCGAGCGAGTTAAAGGAGTCCCCGACCAGTCCTCTCAGTTCTCTGATCTCAGCACTCTTTTTGTAAGAGTTGTCGAGGTAGCTTTGTCTCTTCAGGGCCCCCTCAGATATTTGAGACCTGGTGGGATTGGAGTTGATTGATTCATAAAAGATAACAGCAATCTCAAAAAAGTGGGCTAAAAAAGCTTGAAATATATCAAAATATTTGTTAATGCTGCATGGCAAAGTTTCTAAACCTGAGAGAAGAGTTCTGGATCTCGAGATCCTTGACACGGGTTAGCAGAGAATTCCCACGCTCATGCTCCTCTTTAAGTAACTTCTCTGTTCTCTTCACCCTCTCTTGTTCACGTACTAACTCCTGTTAGCATGGGTTGAGATTTAGCAATTGTGAGAATGTCATACTTCATACACACATAATGTGAAAGAGAATCATTGAGCGATTTTAAAAAATCAAGTTAGGCCCTAATATGTTTGAACACCGCAGTATAGATCTGAGTAATTAACAGTAACACAAATAAGATATTGACCTGTTTGTGTCTGACTTGGCCGGCGGTAAGTCGCTGGTTAAAGCTCTGTTCAGTATCTGCTAACTGCTGCTGGGTCATCGTTAGTCTGAAATTGTAAAACCGTTAATTAATTAATGAGGTTCCCTGTATATCTGAGTATCTAAATCTTACTTAAATCGCATTCAGTTGAGACAGGAACTCAAAGATAATGCATGAATAACAAAAGTTTCCCAGGCATAACCTATCAGAAAGGTATGTTATTAGCCCGAATAAAACTACTAAAACAGTAGATTGTTGAAGCACCCACCTTCTGTTCACTTTAGCTTGTTCTCTGCTAGTAGAATTGTGGGTGGTCTCCAAGTCTCCTCGTCTCTTCTCCACCAAACTCAGCTGCTCATCCAAACGGCTCTTCTCCGCGGTAGCAAGCTCCAACATCTGCTGGAGACCTCTCTTCTCCTTCTCTGAGATTATCTGCTCTTCTTTCAGACCCCGCTTTTCTTGTTCAGCCTGGAGTGAGAAGTGTTCGTTACGAGGAGACGAACAGAAAATATACTCTAACTTATAGTGGTGATCATCAACTAATAAGTTATCATATTATCATATTAGGGGTCGTTCGCATATTACGTAATCGTTTTTTGAAACATTTTTACCCCCCCCTCCGTAAACAGTTTTACACATAGCTATTGTGTAAAAATTACACTAGCGTAATCATTCGGAACCTCCCCCCTCAGCTGATTACGTAATATGTGAACGACCCCTTATCATAAATATCAGAAGTATCAACAAACATTACAGAAAACTGACTCATTACCTGCATGGCGGAGTGTTCAGTCTGGCTGATGACCTTGCTAAGATGCTCCTTCTCCCCCTTCAGTTCCTCAATCTTACTGTTGAGGTCCTCTATCAAATTATCCTTCTGTTGAAGGGTGAGCTGCAGGTTCCGCACCTGTCCCTCAAGACGTATCTTCTGGACCTCATTGTCAGTTAGGTTATTTTGTAGAGTAGCCATCCTCTCTTGAAGTCTGTTGATAAGGTCCTCTTGTTCTGAGTGACTCTGTTGGAGCGCTGCCAATTTCTCACTGAGTACTCGTCCTTCGCTCTCTGCAGCGTTCAGTCTCTTGTGATACTGAGTGAGTTTCTCCTGAAGAGTTTGAGAACCATGTTGGCTGTCCGTTAGGGACTGGTTCAGATCGTTCACAGTCCCCAGAAGGTGTTTCTCTTCTTCCTGTACTTTCTGAACAGGAAAAAGGTTATAGGGTGTCTTCTTAAGATGAGCAAGATAAATTTGATGAATCGTATGAGGTAAATTGCAGTCCGAGAGAAAATTACCAGAAAGATTGAATATTGATGCAACATTATTTCAAGATCAAGAGCTAGTCTCAGTTAAATAATGATACACATCCGATCTTTAAAGCCAAATTAATTTCTGATTAAAAAAGTGACAAATATAACAAACCTGAAGAGATTTGGTGAGTCTGGCTGAAAGATCCTGTAACTGTCCTTTCTCCCTCTCTGCCTCAGTCAGACTCTGTCTCAGCAACTCAAGTCTCTGCTGGAGAACCTTCCTCTCTGCCTCTCCCTCAATATGTTGTCGCTGAGATTTCTGCAGTTCCTCCAGGGTCTGTCTTTTGTCTCTCTCTCCAGTTGCTAGCTGTGCGGCTACTTCTTCTAGTCTGAGAAGATAAGATATAAATAATGAAATTTATTTAAAATTTCAAGCATAACAGACAATATTTGTTATATTAACTTCATTATATAAATAGCAGTTCTGTATAAAAAAGTTACCTGTCCTGGAGCTCCTTCTTCTCCCTCTCGCACCCCTTCACAGAGAGGTTTAGTTTATGACCTGTTTCCTGTAACTCCCTCCTCTCCTCCTGCAATGCTGCCAACTGTTTATTAGCGTTGTTCAACTTCTCCGTTAGCAGGGTCTTCTCCTTCTCGCCACATCTGTATCTCTCCTCCTGCTGGGACAGGGCTTGTTGAGCGGTGACCAACCTGCCGTCAGCTCCTCGTATTCCACTCTCCATGCTGGCGATCTGATCACGCAAACTGTTAACTTTCAGGTCCCCCCTCTTCTTGTCCTCATCCAGCTCCTTCATTGCTCTCTGGAGACTGTCCACTGTAGCGATAGCTTCGTCTCGTTCTCCCTCAGCGTTAGCGAGACTTCCTCTTAAATGCAGGACGGCGTGTCTAACTGTTTCAGCCTCTACTTGGGCTTCTCCTGCCATTCCCAACAATCTGGAGGGTGATGCAGATCTGTTGATCCGGCTGGGAGATATGGGACGTCTGATGGGAGAGGATGAGCGGCTTGGTGGTCCGAAGTCTTCTTCCTCTGGGATAATGAGGGACGGTTGGGTTAGGTCTCTGAGTCCAAGTGTAGCTTGAAGCACGGAGACAAGGTTGGCGAGTCTGAGCTGAAGCTCCTTTCTCTGTCCTTCTGTTCTGGTTAGCTGGTTCTCCAAACCGTTCATTCTGCCTTCAGCACCTGATAGTTTACACTCAGCTTCACCCTTCTCTCTACCTGCTTCCTCCAACATCTGTTCCAGAGCTCGGGCTCTCTTGTCCGCTTGTCTCTCTTCTCTCTGTAACTTCTCCACTGCTCCACGAAGCTTGTCCTCTGTATCTCTCTTCTGGCCCTCCACTACCTTGATCTGTTTCCTCAAATTATTCAGCTCGTTCTGAGATTTTCCCCTTTCCTGGTCCACATCGTGTAACTTTGTCTTCAGTATATCAATAGTCCTAGTGTCCTCCTGGGCCATCTTCTCCTGCTTGTAGAGCTGATTCTTGAAGTTATCCAGCCCCGATTTTGCTTCTTGTTTCTGTTCCTCCAAGATGTGAGCCTTATGGTTCAGTTCATCCAGCTCTTTATTCGCGTCCGCTCTAGCTTTCTCGGTGTGACGTATCGCAGCTCTAAGCTCCAGAGCTTCTTTCCAGATGTTCTTCCTCTCTTCCTCTGCCTCGTCCATTCTTCCTCGTAGACTGGTAGCTTCTGCCTTGATGGCTTCTCTTGCTTCTTCTGTCTTGGCAAGTCTCTTCCTCAGCTCCTGAGCATCTCGTTGGAAGCTCTCTTTCTCGATTTCGTCTCTTCGAGCTTTCTGTTCGATCGTACCCAATTCGGTAAGAGTTTTGCTTCGCTCTTCTTCCAGTTCTTTTTTCATTGCCTCAACATCCTGGAGGTGTGATCTGACCACTTCAAGACATCCCTCCGCTTCAGCGAGCTTCAGACGGAGCGTTTGTATCTCCTGAAATAGCAGTGTGTTTTTAACTACAGCAATCAAAAAATTAGTATAACAATTCAACAATTGTGATGAATCTTGGGTGTTCTCATCAGCTTAAGTTCGAGTTTAAAACAGAATGTTAAAAGTCACGTGTCAAACTTAAAAGTCACGTGTCAGTTAACAACATTTACCTGAGAAAGAGCAGCGTTGTCATCCTCCTGTTCAGCACACTTTTCTCTCAGATCCTCAATATCTTTAGTGGTACGAAGCACCGTGTCGTTATGTTTGGTGGTCAGGGCTCGGAGAGAGTGTTCTGTCTTTGACAGCTCGTCTCCTGTCTTCTCCAATTTGTCCTGAAAGAAATGGCAGTTTAGTGGGTTTTCTTCTTCATGTCGTGGTGGCGAAGAGGTTTAAGAATTACAAAAAATGCTGCAGTGAAAGTTGAATTAGCAGTATTTAAAAATGTCTGAGAAGATCAAGAATTCAAAATCGAATGTCCTCTTAGAATCTAAGATGGGGAAAGATAACATTACAAAATTGAACAGGCAGTTAAGTTCCAATTTAAGTTTCACTTTCTGTTAAGTTTACCTGCAGGCCAGCGATCTCCTCCTTGTTCTGCTGAGACCTCATAGAGAAGCTGTCCCTAGCTCTCTCATACTCGGACAGGGTGTGGTCATGTTGTCTCTCCAGCTTGTGAAGCTTCTCTGTCACTGCTGCTCGCTGTTCATCCAGGTCTTGTATCGCTTCATGTTTCTCTTTCATCAGCTTGTTTACTGACTCACTGAACAAAAAAACATGATCCATTAATTTGATGAAATTTCATATTGCGTAATTAAATGCAGATTTTGAGAGGAAGTGTTTATTGATACTAATACTATCATTTTCACATTCGTTTTACTTTTGCTTGTTAATAATAATAACAATCTTTTCCAACCTCACTTTAAAATAAAGACCCCTTACCTGAGATTGGTCCTGGTTTTGTCAAGTTCGTCCTGTAACTCCTCTCTCTCCTTCTCGCCTCTTATCGCCATGCTCTGCTTCTCTGCTAACACTATTTCTAGGTCCTGATCCTTTGATCGTTTCATTTCAAAGAGTGCGTCTTCCTTTTCTTCCTGCAAGAGATTGGGAGTTACGATTGAAAGTATGACGCTGGTTATTGGTTAAGCAACCGGCTTATCAGATATCATCATTGTATAAGACAGACTTCAATACAGAACGACTCCACAGTTGTTGTATTTTTAGGTATAGAAAAACTGCGTGTATTTTGTAACTAGCAGTGATACAGTCTACAAAAAAACATAATTCAGAGTCTTGTGATTATTACCTCTGCTTGTCTGAGAGCGTCCTGCATCTGCTTGTTGAGTCTCTCGATCTGGTTGTTCTTATCGTTTGTAGTTTGTAACAGTCTTACCTTGAGCTGCTCGATATCCTTACTTAGTGTAACTCCCTGATTGAAGCTATGTTAAAACTAATATTGTGGTAAAAACGTGAAGGAATTAGGAGAACAAATTTTGAGTATCTAATGAGCTTATAAATTCATTTCTCATCCTGGTTAATCCTCTGGTATACCTAGTCCTAGGTAAGTGTTCAGTTTAAGATATTTCCTTGTGTTTAAAAAGAACATTACCTGGATCTCCTTCTCTTTCTGGACAGCTGCCAGCTCGACAGTCAGATCCTCCTTTATCTGCACCAGCTCCTCCACTTCTCTCTCCAAACTCTCCTTGTGCAACTCAACACGTGCCAGGTTCTGTTCTGTACCGTGGAGCGACTGTTCTAAGCTAGCCTTACTCTCTGCTAGACTCTTGTTCTGTTCTATAGCTCCGTCTAGTCGCATCTCCACCATTCCTAGCTCCTCCTTCAACTGGTGTTTCTCTTTTACTAGATCTTCTCGTGCTTTAGCCATCCGTACGATGGTCTGAGAGATTAATAGTTATATTTATTAAATTATTAAATCATTATATTTGATTATCAATTATCCTATTATTGGATATTGTTCAGTATTTATCTTAGGATGTTTAATGTTTAATGTAAAAAGTTGTGATGGTGATCAGAAGAGGGCGTCAAAACATTCGTCATGATATTACAGCTCTAGGCAGCGAAATGAAAACTGAACAAATAATCTCACCTGTCCAAGTTTCTCCCTCTCTCTGGTAGACGTCTCCAAAGTGTCCAACAGGTCTTCCTTCTCCATACCCAGCAATGTGTACGACTCGTTCAGATCTCCTGAAAAAGAATTTGTTGTGAGGCTAACTGAATAAAAGGAGCATTTTTAAGGAGTAGGGTCACAGGAACAGAATCAAGACAAGCTAAGTTTAAAGGAAACTAACCTTTTTCTCTGTCGATATTTCTGACACACTCCTCGAGGTTAGCTTTGGTAATCTCTAGTTCGTTGTTCACTTGAAGCAGCCTATTTTTCTCTCCGTCAATCAGTTCGAACTTGTTGATCAGTGTTGCCAACTGAAAATGGTAGTTTTTGTTAGAAAATAGTCGTTGGAATTTATGGATTGTAATCACGAGGCTGACTCATACATTAGGACTTTACTTGTAATTTGCAAATGAAACTTTAAATAATAATTTGATCTCTTACCTCGTTTTTAAGATTATTATTGTCCACCTCAGCTTCATCCTTAAGTTGGCTCAGCTTCACACGTTCAATGCCTACAGATAAGTTGTTAGATTTGTTGTTGAAGACAGAGCTCAAAAACTAAAGTTATGACGTAGACATCAATTTCCCAAAACATTTCCCCTTAATATTTAGCTCAAGTAACCTGCAGTTTTTAGAGCGCTCTTCATGTCAATCTTCTCCGCCTCCAATTGTCCAAGAGTCGTCTCAAGATGGGACACTTTGTCCTCGAAGGACTGCTTCTCTAGTTTCATTCTGAAAACAGATTCGTTAGATGTGTGATGCGGAAGATTTTTTAAAACTTTAACAACACATCCAGAATCCATATCACGTATAATTATATGATAAATAATCTGCACATGACATCCAGAATCCATTTATAATACAAAATCTGCACGTCATCAATGCGCGAACCTGCCAATAACATCAGTCTGATCGCTCTTGACCCTCTCTAGCTGTTGTACCCTGTCTCCCATCTCCACTTTCAGTTCACTCAGCCTCGCCACATCAGTCTCAGATCTGCCCAGCTTCCCTCGTAGGATCTGTTCTTCTTTGCTAAGGGCTGCATGTTCTCTTTGTAGGACGTCAGAACGCTGTAGGGAGGGTGTGAGGGTTAATTAATGTTGGGGTTGGGACAAAGTTTTAGCTGGGTAATATCGGGATTGTATCCATATTTTCGAGCTAGAATTAGCAGATATCTAAACAGGTGAGGGATGTACAATTCTGCAATCTGCAAGGCCCACATTTATATTTATGACGCGAAGTCATGCTTCAAATTTAAAAGAATTTTTAGAATTTATATGCTGTCTCTTCTCGGACAAAACTCCACAGTCCTCATAGATGAACCAACATCCACAGCTTAACCGTTCGAGTAAGATCTTAACCGGCGCGGAGAGGATTTAGGATTACTCAGCTGGTGCGGGAGACACAGCTCCGAATAATTCGCTAGCTAACTCACGGGTTTTTTGCGGTCGTCAGCTCCAGGCGGAGTCTGATACAGAATAATTCGCTAGCTAACTCACGGGTTTTTTGCGGTCGTCAGCTCCAGGCGGAGTCTGATACAGAATAATTCGCTAGCTAACTCACGGGTTTTTTGCGGTCGTCAGCTTCAGGCGGAGTCTGATACAGAATAATTCGCTAGCTAACTCACGGGTTTTTTGCGGTCGTCAGCTTCAGGCGGAGTCTGATACAGAATAATTCGCTAGCTAACTCACGGGTTTTTTGCGGTCGTCAGCTTCAGGCGGAGTCTGATACAGAATAATTCGCTAGCTAACTCACGGGTTTTTTGCGGTCGTCAGCTCCAGGCGGAGTCTGATACAGAATAATTCGCTAGCTAACTCACGGGTTTTTTGTGGTCGTCAGCTCCAGGCGGAGTCTGATACAGAATAATTCGCTACCTTACTCACGGGTTTTTTGTGGTCGTCAGCTCCAGGCGGAGTCTGATACAGAATAATTCGCTAGCTAACTCACGGGTTTTTTGTGGTCGTCAGCTCCAGGCGGAGTCTGATACAGAATAATTCGCTAGCTAACTCACGGGTTTTTTGTGGTCGTCAGCTCCAGGCGGAGTCTGATACAGAATAATTCGCTAGCTAACTCACGGGTTTTTTGTGGTCGTCAGCTCCAGGCGGAGTCTGATACAGAATAATTCGCTAGCTAACTCACGGGTTTTTTGTGGTCGTCAGCTCCAGGCGGAGTCTGATACAGAATAATTCGCTAGCTAACTCACGGGTTTTTTGTGGTCGTCAGCTCCAGGCGGAGTCTGATACAGAATAATTCGCTAGCTAACTGACGGGTTTTTTGTGGTCGTCAGCTCCAGGCGGAGTCTGATACAGAATAATTCGCTAGCTAACTCACGGGTTTTTTTGTGGTCGTCAGCTCCAGGCGGAGTCTGATACAGAATAATTCGCTAGCTAACTCACGGGTTTTTTGTGGTCGTCAGATCCAGGCGGAGTCTGATACAGAATAATTCGCTAGCTAACTCACGGGTTTTTTGTGGTCGTCAGCTCCAGGCGGAGTCTGATACAGAATAATTCGCTAGCTAACTCACGGGTTTTTTGTGGTCGTCAGCTCCAGGCGGAGTCTGATACAGAATAATTCGCTAGCTAACTCACGGGTTTTTTGTGGTCGTCAGCTCCAGGCGGAGTCTGATACAGAATAATTCGCTAGCTAACTCACGGGTTTTTTGTGGTCGTCAGCTCCAGGCGGAGTCTGATACAGATCCTCCGTCACATCTATTATGGCAGACTGACTGGAATCGTTTGTCTGATTTAGATTGCTGATGTCGTTGTGCGAGCTTGTCGTTATGTTGCGATGGTCATTACGATGGTCATTACGATGGTCAATGCGATGGTCAATAAGATGATCAATACGATGATCATTGCGATGATTAATGCGATGATCATGGCGATCTTTTCTCTGGTGAGCTGATTTATGACCAGTAACCCTTGTTTGATCCCTCATGTTATGATCACTGATATTGAGAGTTTTTGTCTCCGGAGACCTATGATCATCTAATCTCTTCTCAGGAGATCTATGATCATCTAATCTCCTCTCAGGAGACCTATGATCATGATCACCACCTGAATTCTCAAAATTTCTCTGTTTGCCGGGTTTTTCATTACCCCCATGAGGGTCCAAGACTACGTAGCTTAGGTTAGGCCCAGTGGTGTTACCACCGGGGGATTGGTTCTCCGAGTCCTCATCTATGTGGAGGTAACCATGTACCTTCACCAGGTTATGCACAGGTCGGGATCCTCGCATCATGTTCAGTAGAGATTCAACTCAGATATTAGTAAGAGATAATCACTTGATAATCACTTGATAATCACTTGATAATCACTTGATAATCACTTGATAATCACTTGATAATCACTTGATAATCACTTGATAATCACTTGATAATCACTTGATAATCACTAGTTGAAAGCTGTTCTTTCTAATATTTCAAACTGAATCACAGGGCCTCACACTGCAATGTGGCCCGATTGAATGGAAATTGGAACCGTGTACTGTCAATCTGATATTCGACAAGGGGTAGCCGTAAAGTTCGTTAGGTAGGCTGGTTCATACTTCTTTCTCCGTAGAGGCAACTGGACCTATACAGTATACATAGAATGGTGATAAAGAAAAAAGAAGTTCGAAGCAAATGGTAAGACAAAATAAAAGCGATGGGTTTGTAGTGCAAATAACGACTGACGATAAAACAATTCAACAAATAATTAACCCGAGCCCAAATGTCTTGAATAAACTCTAAAACAGCTTCACAATATGCATATTGCAAGTTTCAAATTTCGCGCCCAAGTACAATTAACTAAAGACATGACAAAGAAAAGATATACCGAAAGTAAAAGACTGTACACGGTAGTTGCTACTCGGATGTATAAAAGAAAGAAGGGGTTGCATGAGCTTGCTGGAGGGCTCGAACCCGGATGTCTATTAAACCCTCCTCTCTCTGACCACTTTACTTTATTCTTTGTCACGTGACTGAATAAGGGTTCCTAATTGGCCACCTGCCATGTAATTACCCTTAACGTGGAATGGCAGGGGTCTCTATTTGTGTGTAATGGGCCGCTGATTACCTCCAGTCACTAGTCGTGTAGTTTTAGAGTACACACTGCTTTGATGTTTGCTCCTAATTCGCGTAGAGTGTGTCGGGATTAGCTAAAATTCGCTACTTTTGACTTTTTATACTCAGATGTAGCAAAATAATTTGAACATGATTATTAAATAATAAATATGTAATATGAAAAATAATTTTGATATTTACAGGGCATCGATTTAAAAGTCCAGACACCATCATTGATTGTTTAAAAAAAAAACAATAACAGTGTCGAACCATTGATATTGATAATGTCACCATTTAGGGTGATTGGATATCACATGACGTCATGATTACACGTGATGTTTCCCTCAAAACTAAACTACGTGACGTCATAACAAAACCAAGTGACATCATGACAAAACCAAGTGACGTCATAACACTCACCTCAGTTAAATGAGCTAGTTGATCCTTCCTCTTACTCTTTTCAGCTAACAGACGCTCCTTCTCAGATTGTAGTCCCGCAACCTGTATAGTAGTAAGGTCCGTGTAATAACTTAATGAGAAAGAGATCATCCTAGGAATGTACACATGCTTGATGCGCGAACCATGAATATTTGAGGTGATAAATTATTAAATGTATACGCTGAAACTCCCAAAGACTCGACATAAAATAGAAAAGATTGCATCTAATATGATTATGAATACGCTGCAGTAATTTAAAGGTTCCTTCATACCTGAACATTAAGCTCGGTGTTAAGTGTAGTAAGATTGGAAGCCTCGCCACGAGAACTCGTCAAACTATCTCCCAAATCTTTACTCTTCTTTTCTAGACCTGAAAACGTGAGTTTTTAAAAAACAAATTAAAGATGGCGCTCAAGTCGGTCGACCATTCTACCGACAATTCGACCGGTGCATTTCGACTAACAAAGTTGGAATCATGATAAGATATTCATCGGCTGAAGAAAAACTGGTAATAAATTTAGTATAAATTTACACTTCTCCGTTTGGCTGGCACATCAGGTTATTATCTGCCAGCCAAACGGAGAAGTTTAAATTTCAACCAAATTTCCGACAAGTAGGTATGCGTTCTGAACGCATATTTGGATGACTCATGCCAGCCAAACGCTGTTGCTTACCATGAGGCTCACACTGATGCTAGTAACACTAAAGCCAGAGGGGGGGGGGGGGGGGGGGGGGGCGGCGGGGGGTAAAAATCGTTTTTCCAGTTTTCAAATCAAAATTCTAAAACATAACGTTTTTGTGCAACAACCCAAGGAACACCTGTACCAAATTTCAGCTTCTGGGTGTGGCCAGTCTTTTCCCGAAAAGGAGGTTTACCTTTTTTGAGTTTAAGTTAAAGTTTTACATGTAATATCTCGAAAACACAATGTCAGATTTTGGTCCGGTTTTTTCTTCTTGTTCGTCTCCAGCAGCTCTGATCCTAAGATGGCAAGTACGTACGGTACGTACCTTTAAATTAGCTGTACGGTACGTACTTAATAAAGTAGGCTGAAAGGTACAAATCCAGTTGATAGCAATGGAAACAAAAACTAGACGGTACGTGCGCAGATTAATCCAGAAGTAGAAGAATTGGAACCTTCGCGCGAAATTCTCAAAATTTTTTCTGCTTAAACAGTTGGCCCAAATAGTATTCATTCAGTGTTTTAAGTTCTTCGTCAATTTGTGAGACCAATTTTAGAGATTACAAGTATATTATGGACAAGCGTAGATTAAGGTTGCGACCTGAGCTAGCTGAAAAGCTGGTGTTCGTATACTGCAACAAAAGGATGAAGCTTTGAGTTTAACGATAATGACAAGTAGTAGTAGTGTAGTACCGGTTAAGACTAAGAGCGATCCGGTACACAAATTTTCCTCTTCAATCTTGTATTGTTTTAACCACTGTGTTTATTTTCGACTTCTATTTCAAAAATTATGATGATAATACTAATCAAAAATTGCAAGTAATTCACTGAAGTTGATTCTAAAAATTTGAAAAAAAATTGTACCTTACAGTGCCTGTACGGTACGTACCTTTAAAAGTAGCTGTACCGTACGTACTTAAAGCCCTGCACCGTACGTACTTACTACTTGCCATCTAAGCTCTGATCAAATATGTGAAAACGGAAAAAAGAATTGTTACCCCCTCCCCCCCCCACCTCTGGCCTTAATGAACCGATTCGAATCGCGGTCCTCATTTCCTTGGATTCGATCCAACATTTCCTTTGATTCGATCTAACATTTCCTTTGATTCGAGATCCTCACACAGGCGAACAATGTCGGATCAAGTAAGATATTCTGCTCAATATTTATATATTCTGGACTTCATCTTGTATGATCATGTGTTTTTATCATGTTTTTAAAACGTTTTAATTTGAAATGCCAACTTTCATCTCCAAACAAGAATTGCGCCCGTTGTTTCGTTTTGGCGGACGCTAGATTTCCATTTCACATTTACTATAAATTTAAGTATAAGCTCCAATCAGCTCACTTCAATCTTCATGATAATAATATTGATAAATTATGCATCAAATACGGGAAAAAATTCAGTTCAATTGCCGTAGAACTTAACTTGTATCTGTAATTCAAGAAATTATCAGCAAAGGTAAACTATACTCGTGTACACATCAATACACTACGCGTGCCACGTACAAATTGGGCGAATTACCTATTAGTAATATTATACATAACATGCATCATATACATTAAAACACAGTCGCGCCGCGCATTCATAGATCACAGGCTATCTATACATCACATCTCCGCAAGCAATCCTCGCGCGCGCGCAACTTTTTCGTTGCTTGGTAACGGACGGAAGGAACACGACATATATTTGACCCACCTACCCCAATCTCCAAAATCCACGTTTTTCTGCAAAAACGACCATTCGTAACCTTTCACTATTGCCTTTTTTCAAAAGGGTGAAATGGAAAAAATACACCGGTTGTACAGCGGTTCACAAAGTTTGATTAGCTAACAATTCCTGATTTTGGTAACCAAAGTAGTTTCATTAGGTGAGCTAAGAGGAGCTTAGTACACATTTTTTAACGAATGTCTCGAAAAAATATCTTTCTTTTCAGAGCAGCGGTTCAGCAGTCAATCAGGGCCAAAATATAATGTTTGGCCACTTCTGTTGTTCTGGATGTAAGAAAGAGTGGAAGAGTAGCCAAACATCGGCCAGCGGTGGACAGATGTGCTGGAAATGTGATGTCATGGTGTATCCATATAAAGAAGACAAAATCAAGAAAAAAGTACTGGTTACTGAAACTCTGCATTTTTGTACTGATGGCAAAACGGAGAAGGTGGAATACAAGGAATTCCAATACGTGGACAAATAATTTTGATTGGACAAAATCATGGATACAAAAATGTTTTTGAGAGTTATACATCCAGTAGCGGACTTGACTACTGGTTGATATTACGTGGACCCATTCAGCGTCCACGTAATGTCCGATCAAATAAAGTCCGATCAAATTAGAAAACAAAAACATGGGTGCGTGAGAGTACATTTTGATTTTTCTGAAAATATTTGTAGCATTTTACACTTAATAATTAATGGAATATATTTTGAAAGTTTGATTCTCCCAAATCTTCTTTTCTAGACCTGAAGACGTGTATTTAAAAAACAAACTAATTAAAGATGGCGCTCAAGTCGGTCGACCGTTCTACTGACAATTCGACCGGTGCATTTCGACGATGTACAAAGTTGGAATCATGATCAGAGATTCATCGGCTGAAGAAAAACTGGTAATACATTTAGTATAAATTTACACTTCTCCGTTTGGCTGGCAAGATGGCTGGCAGCAGGCACGTAGTCAGGGGGGGGGGGGGGGGGGGGGGGGGGCGGGCTAGGGTGGCTGCACCCACCGGAAAAAAAATTGAACCCCAGAAAAAAGATAAGCCCCCTAGTCCCCATGGTCGCCTGGTAACTGGGCTGTGTTTATGACTGCAGTCAGTCAAAGATTTGAAATGTGAATTAGTAAATATCTGTCATAACATCGAAGCGAACATTCTAGAAGACTTCTATAAATAGTCAATAGTGTCTCCTAGGCCGTAGGAAATGTCAAAATCTTAAGACGATGAGGCCTGAGTAAGTCATAAATTCTGATTGGAGAATGCAGATTGCTGTTGTGAAGTTACCAAATTTACGTGAGTACTTGATTCTTTTCAATCCCAGTTTATTGCTGTCCTACAAATTTCTTTAATGCCAAATGTCGTCTAAAACACCCTATTTCGCAAAATTTTTACGTGCCTGGCTGGCAGATCATGTTATTATCTGCCAGCCAAACGGTGAAGTTTGAATTTCTACATAATTTTCAAGCAGTCTTTTCGGTTGATGAACACTTAAAGCTGGATGACTCTTGCCAGCCAAACGCTGATGCTTACCATTTTCACACTGATGCTTGTCACCTTAATCTCTTAATAAGCCGATTAGAATCGCGGTCTTCATTTTATTGCTAAACACCTTTCATTGGATTCGATCTAACATTTCCTTTGATTTGAGATCCTCACACAGACAATGTCGGATCAAGTAAGATATTCTGCTCAATATTTATATATTCTGGACTTCATCTTGTATGATCATGTGTTTTTTATCATGTTTTTAAAACGTTTCAATTTGAAATGCCATCTTTTTTTTCAAAAAATACAGCGGTAAAATTAGTTTACGAATCCTGATTTTGGTAACCATAATAGTTTCATTAGGTGAGCTAAGAGGAGCTTAGTACACATTTTTAACGAATGTATCTAAAATATCTCTCTTTTCAGAGCAGCGGTTCAGCAGTTAATCAGGGCAAAAATAGAATGTTTGGCCACTTCTGTTGTTCTGGATGTAAGAACGTGTGGAAGAGTAGCCAAACATCGGCCAGCGGTGGACAGATGTGCTGGAAATGTGATGTCATGGTGTATCCGTATAAAAAAGACAAAATCAAGAAAAAAGTACTGGTTACTGAAACTTTTTTTTATAAGGGCAGTACGGAGAAGAGGGAATTAAAGATGTTCCGATACGTGGACAAATAATTTTGATTGGACTAATCATGGATGCAAAAATGTTTTTGAGAGTTATACATCCAGTAGCCGGACTTTACTACTGGTTGATATTACGTGGACCCATTCAGCGTCCACGTAATGTCCGATCAAATAAAGACCGATCAAATTAGAAAACAAAAACATGAGTGCGTGAGAGTACATTTTGATTTTTCTGAAAATACTTTTAGCATTTTACACTCAATAATTAATGGAACATATTTTCAAAGTTTGAGCTTGATCATTTTAGTTTAATAATTTTTGTAAAACTATCAAATAAAAACCTGATTTAGCGGTGCTGAGGGCTGATATTTCGTCCATTGCTTTGTTGTATTGCCCGGACCTCTCGTCTAATGAGTCTGAAGGAAAATGGTAATCAGGTATTTCTCCATCGCTAACCGAGCACAAAAAATAGTAGGTAACACAATTGATACAATAAAAAACATTCGATTCAACTGAAAGTAAAGATTTGAAAAAAGTTTTAATCGAAACGAAAACAAAACTATAATGTACCAAGAAAGTTCGCCCCAAAAATCCTCACCTTTGACCTCGGAGATTTCAGCCTTGAGCGCCTCGCACGCCTTGGACAGTCCAGCGTTCTCACCCCTCACTTTACCACTCTCCTTGTGACTCTCATCCAGCGAGTCTAACCCTGCTTCTACGTTTGCCATCAGCTCCTCTATTCTACCCTCAAATCCACAGATTGTAGCCCTGTTACAACGAGGGTGTGTTAACAATTGAGATAGTATAGGGGTAGTTTTCACTAATTCCAATTAGTTGGTAATGTAGCGAAATACAATGAATATTGTGAACAGTAAAAGTAGTAGAGCAACTATAGAACTGTACCTGACAGAGCTAGCAGCCCATTCACAGAGGTGTTGGGAGGGTACGGAGGAGAGGACAGAGTTCACAACATCGTTAGTTGCTCCTGTTAGGACACATAGTTAGTATATGGGAGGGGGAAATATAGTAGTTAACAATTGAACTAGTTGCTCCTGTTAGGACACATAGTTAGTATATGGGGAGGGGGAAATATAGTAGTTAACAATTGAACTAGTTGCTCCTGTTAGGACACATAGTTAGTATATGGGGAGGGGGAAATTAGTAGTTAACATTTAACAATTGAACTAGTTGTTCCTGTTAGGACACATAGTTAGTATATGGGGAGGGGGAAATATAGAGATATAGTAGATAACAATTGAATTTGAAATATCCCCTTTTTTAAGACTTAATTGCACTACAAGTGCTCGGGAGTCTGGGGCACAACGTCCTGGGGCTGGGTCACAGTTACAACAATTGTGAAACAGAAATACAATTATCCACTAGGATGACTCACCAGTTCGTGCAACGTCCCGTGTTGGTGAGGCAGATCGTTTAGGAGACCCTGGTCTGGGGATGTCTCTAAGAGAGGAATCCAGGGTACAATCCAGTCCCATGGCAGCCTGTGCACGTGACACCGCGTTGATGATGTCCTTGAGAGTGGTACTGTACGACTCAGCTTCATTCTTCAGATTCTTTGCTTTCTCCGATTCTCGGGAGAGATGTGCGTCTGTCATACCCTTTTCGTGGTCCTGGAACATTTCACAGTGAGGCAAACTGAGCGAGAAGGGGGTATTTGGGTCGAGTGTGCAGAAATTTGCGTGAAGTTAGAGATAAAAGAATGTAAAGCAAAGGATGGTGCATGTATAGTAATACTGGTGACAGTATGCTCGATTCAATCAGAAGTCCATTAGAAATCGATTACAGGGTAAGTTATGCCACTCAAAGCTCTGGCATTAGGAAAGGGAATTAACTTGACACTTACATTGGTCCCAATTTTATAAATGCATTAATAGTAATACATCTGCTGCAAATTAAAGTGATCGCTCGACCAGTCGACCATATAAGACTTAAACGTTTCGGCGCAGGGTTTACCAAATAAATACAATCGACTTCAGATCCCTGTTCAATGTTTAACTTTAAGATTAGAAACGTAAGTTGAAACGAACAACTCACCAGATCAGAGAAGTCAGCCTTGGTCTTGTTGAGTTCGGTGTCAGTGGAAGCAAGGTCCCGAGTCAGCGTGTCAACTGTACTCTGCAGTTGCTGAATAGTCCCCTGTAGCTCTGTTTTCTCGCTCTCGAACCTGGACGACAGATTGTTATTGACACAAACAAACAAATTATATTTCAAATGTAACTTGCGAGTTGCGAAATTACAAGCTAACAGACTGATATACTGAGATGAAATTGAATAATAAAATTTACTAGTACTCTAAAACTATTAACCGGTACTTTTTAGGCAAAGGACCCCCAGGTCACCGGTCAGATGTTTCGTCGGTACAATAAACTATGCTATAGATTGTTCCGGGAATTATTTATCGTCGAAATTAAACATCATTTAACTTCACGAGGTTTAAATACACAAACTAATTTAGGGATCTTACTTTCGTTGTTGATCGTTGAAAGAGTTGGTCCTCTCACCCAGCACAATCTCCAGTTGTTCTCTTGCTAATCTCTCGTTGTCGAGCAAGCTTTGTGCTTCCAAGTAGGCAGACTTGCATTGTTGTTCTAGTCGGGCTAAAATGGAATGTTATTAGTTAAATCACGTGATGCAGTTAACAGATATTCTGAAAAAGTTATTATTTTCAGTCGTGAGGGAATTGACAAGATCCTAGCCCCAAATTACGGCTCATTGTGCATTACAGGTACAAAAGGATTTCGCGATTATTTTGGCCAAAATTCGAGATACCGCGATTTTTAACAGACTATACATTAAACTATACATAAAATTTGTCGCAAATAATGGGAAAAATCGCGATTCCGTACATGCCGCGATTTCCTTTTTTCCCTGTTGTGAAAGGGATACCAATGAAACAGAGGTGGCAATAGAATAGCTCCCGAACAGCTAGTATTATTTTATTTGTATTGCTATATTGAGCATTCAACGGCCATTATTTGGGCTGGCAGTAAGAATTTATTGCACTGGTAGCATGTTAGAGAATCTTCAATATTTATTGTTGGCCATTGAACATGTTGTTCGTCGGCTCTTGATATTGATAAGGTTAACGGCTGACCTCTTCTTCGTAGGGGGCTGTAGCTGTGGTCAATATCACTAATGGTAAGATCGTGACCACTGTAAGATAGAGCATTGGAGACCTGACCACTGACCAGTGACACAAGAAAAAAGAAAAGACACCATTTTTCTGTAGCATTTGGGTGTCAAATGTTTGACGTCGTAGAAAACAATGCTGTCTGAGATGTCAGCCTTTGTTTTTATAAGAGTTGAAAAGAATAGCAAACCTCGCAACATATTGAACGTCAAGTATAACACCCCAATGCTATCATACGCACGAGCCACGATCAATCCGTGTACGGGACGGTTATTGTAAAATAAAATGATATTGATTGTGATAAGTCTCAGCATAAACGAGACTTACTTTGGAACCCGCAATAATGGGGACAATCACAGAAACTTGGTAAAAACCCTGTTCTGAGCGAACTGCAATGAGCGAACTGCTAGACGCTAGATGTCTTACTAAGAAGCACTAGCAATACATTTGATAAAGCTACAGGTGATGCGTCAATCTTATATAATTCAATTCATGTCATCCAATCAGTGACGATTAATTGGTGATGCGATCCATCAGTAAATTTGTAATACATGTGCCTAAGGAATTTACACCTCTCTGCAGCTAGGTTAAACTTTTCAGCTCATGCCTGCAAAGCATGGTACCCGCGTTACTGGTGTCCTCCGTGCACATTACCAAGGTCGGGGACCCTGTACCATTTTGCGCTTAGCAACATCATGGTTTACGGTGATCGGTCGTTCCTTTTTGGTTATAATTTATTGAGAACTGTCCCTGAACACATAATCTTTACGCCATCCTCCACCAATCACTCTGATTTCACCGGCAACCTTCCCCAGGGTTGCCACACCCCAGAGGTAGGCAGAGCATCTCAATGCTATCCTCTCGTGGGCTATCTTGGCCCAGCCTCTCTTATAAAAAATCTTTGTTAATTGATCAAGTTTGGTCCGTCAGTCATTTTTCTAACTCTAATTGAATCATCTGACCAAACGCACAGAGCAGCGTGACCTGGTATTAAATAGTGTTTTAGCGGTTATCCGAATAGTCGCATCTATTTTAATGTTGCCATGGGGTGGCAAGTATGATATGAGCATAATATATAACAATAAACACTTATATAAGCAAGGCCAGGTTGACCCAGAAAAATTATTCATTTTCTTATAACAAATCCTACATTTTTGCAAATTCAAATGCGGATTTTTTTGCCACTTGCTATCATCGTTTTATATGATATTATTTCGTCGCAAGACAATCCATATCCTCCGAAAAAAGCAAGATATGGCCCTGGTTCCAGCTCCGGTTCAAATGCTGGTAACTTTTTGAACATTCGAATAAAAGTAATCTTGTATATTACAGATTCATTATTCAGGTTATGGAATATGGTTCAAAATTCAAAATGTTTAATAAGTTAACTTCAGGTGAGTGCAAGATCAGGGAAGTAGGAGGTTTCCTAAAATACGTTTGTGATAGACCGCCGCGGCTACGCGAGGGACTGATGGATAATAGAACCTACAGTTGTGTCAACTCTACCCAGATGTATAACATTGTGCATTTGCAATTCGGCAGGTCAGTGCCCTATCTAAATAGGGCAAAAGTTTATTATTAATATTATATCAGAAGTGACGGCATTTTTGTCCTCTTTGAAAGAAAAACACCGAGTTGGCGGCAAAATCTGCATCATTTGGCACTTCTATTTTCGAATAACTTTGCTCAAGATAACTAAATACTGGATGTCCTAAAAAACCTGCTTATTTGGCCCATTCTCTTTTGTGCTAGATATGCACTGATTGGATTTCTTAAAGAGCTTATGGAACTGATGCTAACACATTTTTTGTTTAAAATTGGTTCAGTGTAAAGAATTTTAAACCGCGAATCGACTCCCAAAACATTTCAAGGCTCTAACTCATTCAGAAGCTGCTTGATCTTATCAGCTCTTGGGATCAGCTGATCACTTCATTTACTGATTAGGTGCCCGGTACTCAGCTGCATGCCAACAAGTCAGTAGCTATGTTAGAGCCGATCTAGCACCGAATCAGCACATGACACCCGCAATAAATTGTTCATTACATGACAAGATTCATGTGAGGTTTTCAAGGAAATGAGGTGGTCATGGTTATACAAGCTTAGCAACGCACGATCCTCTATCAAGATATCAGACTATTTGTAAAAAATTGTCATGAGGCTGGCACACCCTACTCAAGTGAGCTCGAGGTTTGAAATATTTTTCTAGGACTCCGGAGGTCATACCCTGTAAATAAAAATGAAGTTCTCAAACCGTTCTTGAGTAATTAACACTGATCACTAATAGCCTTTTTGGGACACCTAGTATTTATCTATTAAAGTAGATAAAAGCTGGAGAGAGTCTCAAAAGTCAAAACTGTACTACTTTGACAAAATTTCCACAATCTCGATATGCATCGAATAATCTAACCTTAGAGTACATAAAGGCTGCAAATGTGGCGCACGCAAAATATTTAAATCAAGTAAAGTGCGGAATCGCCCTATTTGAAACTTTTTACCGCACATATATGTTGCCTCTGCACGCAATGCATTGAATTGACTAAATATATATCATTTTCAGGGGCTTTCTTGCCACAGTTGATGTTCTCTGTGAAGGTGATCCCCACTTCTACCAAGCTTGCGGTATCAGCGGAGGAATCAATTTAAACTTAGGAAATTCTATGGCGTCTGGTGCAGATACTATGAACAACCATCTAAATCCTCGTACGAACTAAATTATAGTGTTTTAGTATATGCGAACAAATCCGGTTGAGAAAAATTGCACTAAAATATAATATACCGGGATGAATTTGTAGATTTTCTTGAATATTAGATCAATCGTGTTTTTAAAATATATTATTTTTTCAGGTGATCACCCGTGCGGATATTTTTGTTTAAATAAGGACCGATATTTCCACATTCCAGATTTCAACTTCAATGGATTCTTTGGTTTTCATTTCAGTGTTTGTGATGGTAAAAATGACTGTCTCAACACAGATTTAGATGAGAGGTTTTGTACAGGGAGTTACAATTCCGACACGTGTAATTCGGTGTGTCGAAGTGATTCTGTGAATTGTGAAGATGAGAGCGTTTGTAACGGGTACAATTATGGTGTTTGGTGTAAATCTGGAGAATACTTGCCCCCCTATTTTCTTTGTCGGAAAATTAACGACTGTTTGGTGAAACCCGATTATATTCATATAGATTGCTCAATTAATGAAAATTCTACAACCTGCTTCAATCTACGCACAGAAATGATTGAGCCCCTTTACAATGTGTCCAGGTGTGCTGCCAGATTTAAACGTTCACAAATCAGTACAGCTGTGGAGCCTTTACATTTTTGTGATGATTACATAGATCAAACAAACTGCTCGGACCCTTCAAAAATTGGTGTTATTTGCCCAGTAAAAGGCTTCTTGTCGTCCATTGCCAAACAGATTATCTGTAATAGCGGGTCTGGATTTTCTCATAGTGAACCACCAAAGATCCCTCAAATTTGTGATGATGGACTTGATAAAGCCTGCGTTCAGATCAGTTTGTCTTGCTTCATTCACAAACATTATATGTGTAATGGTGAGGCGAACTGCGAGGACTCCAGTGACGAATTAGATGAACAATGTCATCACATGACCAACAAAAAATTCCATCGGAGGTATTTACTGACAGCATTTCAAGATAAGATTCCATTTCCGCTGAAATGGGTTGGTGATGGGATCAATGATTGCCTGGATGGTGAAGATGAAGTAGACAATTGGCCTACCTGTGGACAGGGAGTTACAGCTCGATATGTCAGATATAACAGTCATTGTAAGGAAGTATTTCTGTGCTATAACATCGACCAACAGTTTATTGAGTTTGCTAACCTATGCGATAAAAAAGAATCTTGTCATAATGAAAACAAAATCTGCTTCTTGTCGAGGGAAACAATCACACCGGTCACTACAGCTCTAAGAGATGAAATAGGCAGAGTGAGGCTTTCCTATTGTCTCAAGGGATTGAAAGATGTTGAGTATTTAAAAAATAGTACATGTTCTCCTGAAATCATTTTCAAATCGAAGAACATTTTCGGCAGAAACAAACAAAATTCCGAAATCATGGTGCCAGATGCCATGATCGATTGTAGACACGTTTATGGAGAGCACTATGTTTTTCAAAGTTGTCTTGGTCTATGTAGCAATAACTCACTATGTCCCCTCACCAGGCAATTATTATGGAACTCATGCCCAGGACAATTTGAAAACGAAAGAGTGTTTACTAAAGGCAGTAATGGTGAACTTACTTTCTTGCTCAGAGATCACAGGACAGGTGAACTCGGTGATGACCTGTTTCGATGTGAAAATAACAAATGTCTCACATATGATAAAATATGCAACCTGGTTGATGATTGTGGGGATTCTTCGGATGAATCTTCTTGCTTCAACCATTATCAATGTGAAATATCTAAAGAATATCTGCCAATAACGCAAAAGTGTGATGGAATTATTCACTGCT